GGCTAAATTTTGTTTATATTTACGCTTCAAACTCAAAATAAATAGAATTGATACCAAAATTTATGCTTGGACTTTTACAAATGTTGTTTTAGCGTGATTTGAGTACATAAGATAATTTTGGTACTGTCATTAATTTGCCTGCGTATTCCTTAAAGTTTTTTTTTAAATTTCATCACTTACATTCAATATTAAATCTTAGTTTTTGCGCTTTGCAAGCTCTATGAATATTGAAATTCTATTGGTGATGCTGAGTGTCCTATTTCATGTATCATAATGATATCAAGTATCTCTCAAGTTGACGGAAGTCTATCTGAGGTCAGACTTTATCTGAAGTTTATGTTAATCATAGTCCTGAAAGGATTGACAGCCTTAGACTTGATAACAATAACAACCGTGACTTAACATGCTTAATCAATCACAGGAATCTCAAAATATGAATACAACAGAGACCAACGTTTATGGAATGCAGTCTTAAAAATGTTGTCATATAAATTTGTTAATCAGGTTTCAACAAAAACCGGTAATTGTTATGCCGAAGTCGGCAGGCGGGCAGGTGAGCGGATGTCAACTTTTGGTTTCGGCTCAACTTGAGTTTGCTTTTGCATAAAGACACCAAACTTTGTATGTTTGGGCAGCTTGGGATTGCTCCCCAGGTGTTTGTGATCGAGGTCACTGCTGCTAAAAATAAAAATTCAGTTTTCGCTCAATAGTTCGAGTTTGCTTTGGTCTATTGACAACAAACTTGGTGTATGGGTAGCTTTATCAAGAAGCATCTTGGGTTTGCTACCTTGGTGTCTATGATTAAGGTCAATGTCACTGTTGCACAAAAATAGAAATTCAGTTTCCGCTCAATCACTTGAGTTTGCTTCGGCCTATTGACATCAAATTTTGTATGTGGGTAGCTTATATCAAGATGCAACTTTGTATTGCTACCAAGGTGTGTGTGTACAAGGTAAAGATCACTGTTGCTTAAAAAATAAACTCAGTTTTCACGTTATAATTTGAGTTTGCTTTCACCTATTGACTCTAAACTTGCTGTGTGGGTAGCTTATATTACGATGCAGCTTTGGATTGCTATTTAGATATCTCGGAGCAAGGACAATGCCACTTTTTTGTCAAGTCTGGAAACTGCTGAGCTTTAACAACAAAACCCAGCACAAAATACTGACAGTGATTCTCAATAATAACAAACAACACATTCATCACAAAGTCTGTTCCAAAAGCTTTTAGAATTAAGAGAGACATACCCTAGGTATCTGATGTTTTATGGGCAGCAAGGCATACTTATATTATTTTCAATGTATGCCACATTCGTTCTAAACCTTAGACGTGGTGGCCCCTTAGAAGAAAAACAGTGTCAAGATATGGCAAATTATCTAGCAGTTAGTCAAGTGTTTTCCTTGATCTGATAATAGCACGGAAATGCCGAGTCTTCATATAAAGGGCTGTTGAATTTGTAATGTCTAAAAATAAAAACTTGTTAGAACATGCCTTTTGGAATTTTGTTTAAAAATATGAGAAAACATGATTGCAAACGGAGGCCAAAAGTCATGAAACCCATCAATTAAATATAAAATTTTGTGGCACAGGGCATCCTTAGGGACACCAAAATGGAATTTGACATATAATTAAGGGTGGTGGTGGCATTAAAGAAAGAAGAGGGGTATTATATCAATTTTTGATACATCCCGAAGGTAAAGAAAGGTTGATGTTATTTACAATAATGAGTTAGTGTAATTTCTAACTAGATTAGTCTTGAAAGTTTGTGTCAAGTTAGCAGTTAATCAATCGAAGACCAATGTGTAGTGTATAAAGCAGTTATTTCATCAAAGGTGTGTCAAAATCTGAGCTTGTAAACTGCAAATTTCTACAAAATTATCATTCCATTTTTATACAGCAAATGGACAGTCATGTTCTTTCATATGAAGAAAAGGGATAGTTTAGAATGAATTTATTTTCTGTAACGCATACTTTGACCAGAGACATAGATAACATCTACATCTCTGCTTTGACAAAATGTACATTATATAATTATGTCTGTCAGGTTTTCGTTTTTTTCTTTCACATATTCTAAAAAATGCACTTTTATAAAGTTTCATATTTTTATGATATGACAATTCAAATACCAAATGACTGTTAAAATTTAACACATGTTAGCTTATAATTCTGTTATTCACACATTCTTTGCTTAATTCCTTTCACAGCGGTCAACAAGATAAAATTGCAAGACGTACACCTGACTTGACGGGCAGATATTTAATTTTCGTTTGCTTGAGTTATGCTAGAATTTTTAAACACTTTTGTTTCATCTGTTTGATAAGTATTTCCTTGTGATAAATTAACATTGTAAACAAAAGGGAATGATGTAAAAAAAATAATGTCTTAACATCTTTAGGAGACAGCGATGACAGACCTCTACAATATTTTATTTCATCTGATTTCCAGGGTCGTGAAAACTAATGACAAACAGAAATAATATAAAATGTTAAGTGTAATAGTTTTAAAAAGTTAAAGCAATGTTTAAATACTAATAACAACTATTTTTCTAATTACAATACCCTAATATGCAGCTATCTATCAAGTTCTCTTAGTAAAAACAAGCGTTTTTGATATTTTTAACACGTATGGCGGCCATTTTGGATTTTTCCCGCCATATTGGATTTTAAAAAATGGGTCCCATGCTCAATTTTTCTTATATATATCAAAGTTCATTTGTACCAAGTTTGGTGCTTTTCCCATTTTCTGAAGTATTTTTTCACAAATTGACTGGACTATGAGCAAACTTGATAAAAGACTTCTCAAGAATGCAACAGACAAAGTTTGGTGATCTTCCATCAATTAGTTCTGTAGGAGAAGATGTTTAAAGGTTTTTCTATTTTTAGCCCTAGAGACCCCTAAAAGGGGCCAATCAAATTCAAATGAGCAAACTTGATAAAAGACTACCTAAGAATGCTACAGACAAAGTTTGGTGATCATCCATTAATTAGTTCTGTAGAAATAGACATTTAAAGGTTTTTCTATTTTTAGCTTTAGCGGCCCCTAAAAGGGGCCAATCAAATTAATATGAGCAAACTTGATAAAACACTACCCAAGAATGCTACAGACAAAGTTTGGTGATCATCCATCCATTGGTTCTGTAGAAGAAGATGTTTAAAGGTTTTTCTATTTTTAGCCCTAGAGACCCCTAAAAGGGGCCAATCAAATTAATATGAGCAAACTTGATAAAAGACTACTTAAGAATGCTACAGACAAAGTTTGGTGATCATCCATCCATTAGTTCTGTAGAAGAAGATGTTTAAAGGTTTTTCTATTTTTAGCTCTGCTGACCCCTAAAAGGGGCCAATTGAAATGACATGAGCAAATTCAAGTGTGACTGTCACAAGGATGCTACAGACCAAATTTGAAGTAAATCTGCCCAGCAGTTTCAGAGAAGAAGACGATTGTTGACGCATGACGTCGGACGCCGGAGTATCCCCCTTTGCTACTAATAGCTCACCCTGAGCCTTCGGCTCTGGTGAGCTAAAAAAAGAAGTGCAGAGCAGCAGTTTCTGTGCACTGCACTTCTTATCAATAAGATCTATCATCACATGAAGTTTCAAGTCCATAGCTTTTATAATTTATGAGAAATGGCCTGGACAAAAATAAAGTATGAAAATAAACAAAGGGCAATAACTCAAATTTAAGAAATGCAGAGTACCGGTTCTTGTACACTGCACTTCTTCTTAATGAGATCTATCATCCTATGAAGTTTCATGTCCATAGCTTTTATACTTTAGGAGAAATGGCCTGGACAAAAATAAAGTATGAAAATTAACAAAGGGCAATAACTCAAAAATGAAGAAATGAAGAGTACCGGTTCTTGTGCACTGCACTTCTTCTTAATGAGATTTATCATCCAATAAAGTTGTAAGTCCATAGCTTTTATATTTTAGGAGAAATGGCCAGGACAAAAATAAAGTATGAAAATGGGTCAAAGACAGAAAAGGCCGGGTTGCATTTGTACACCAAATATCATGAGGCTGTGATGTTACAAAAAAAGTTTACCATCGACCCATTAATGTCGAAAATTTAATTAAGTGGGTAAACAGGAAGTGGATGAGCGACAAACCTGAAATCAAATCCCACGGTATGGGACCATGTATCTATGCTGTATGCCAAACATCAAGAGGCTGTGATAAGTAGTTGCTGAGAAAACTGTTACGAAAATTTCCTACCATTGACCATTAATGATGAAAAATTTAACTAATTTAACTAAGTGGATAAACAGGAAGGAGATAAGCGACAGACCTGAAATCTAATCCCACGGTATGGGACCATGTGTCAATGCTGTATGCCAAATATCAAGAGGCTGTGATAAGTAGTTGCTGAGAAAACTGTGACGAAAATATTTTCCCCGCCCGCCCGCCTGCCCGCCCGCCGCCCGACATTCACCATACTATAACCCGGATTTGCACCAGTGCAACCCGGCCAAAAATTAACAAAGGGCAATGACCCAAAAATTAAAAAGTGCAGAGTACCGGTTATTGTGCACTGCACTTCAGGTCATTATAAGAAGCAATTTGCCTACCAAGTTTGAAGTCAATCCGACTTATAATGACTGACTTATGCCTCGGACAAGCTTAAAGGGATGCTGACACCGAAGCTGACAGAAGTAACCCCTATGTCACCTTTTTCAAGGCGACACAAAAATGGTCTTTGAGGCAAAGGTGGACTCTTTACAAGGTTGATGTTTCCCACTTATTTCATTTCTAATTTTACTTTAAAAGCATTAAACTTGTATATCAAAATTTAATTCATGAACGTTTGTGGTTAAGGGTATTTTTTACAGTATTTTTTGAGTCTCTTTTATTGAAATAGACATTACAACCATGAATATCAGCAATTTTTAGATCAAATCTTTGTTAAAGTTACATAATTTAGAAAACAATTGGTATTAAAAATTGGCAAAGATACTGTGACCAAAGTTGTCATCATTTTTTTAAGACTAAATTTAAACCAACCTCAGACAGGCAAGCCTCCAGAGTTCCTCATCCCTCGCACATAAGTAAAATCCTCGGCATACCTGTAACATTCAAATATTTCACATTCTACACAAAAGGAATTATGCACAATTGATGTTAAGAAATATGGCAAACAAAGTCAAAGACAAAGAGAATCTTAAATGTTTTGCTCATTACTTTTATTTTCTTTGGTCTGAAGTGATATCACTATTTCAGAATGTTTACCCAAGTTGTATCAATGTGCTTGTACATGAATTATTAATCCCAGAATCTTTTTTTCTATTGATCTGAAAGTTTGCTATACAGTGTAAGGAAATAGAAAAGTGTTCTTTCATTCACAAATTGTCTCTTAAATTGGGTCAAAGAGAAAGAAAAAAATAACACAGGAGAAGATGATGTCAACTTTGACTGTATCTTGTCTATTAAGGGCAAGGTCACATTGTCAGGGCCAAAGTGTCAAGGTCATTCACAACATGTGGCCAATGCTAACAATTTCTTTTTTTTCACATGTGATTTTATATGATGTGACCTTTGCCATTATAAAGCTTAACTGAATCAAATGTCAAGGTCACAATATCAAGGTCACAATGCCAAGGTCATTGCCAGCACTTACCTCAGCAATACTCTCCAGTGACTTCATGTCAAGCTGGGAGGACACAACCCATTTAAATATGTAGATCAGAACCTCAACTGGTAGAGCAGATATGTGACATGCCTGAAATATGACACATAAACTGGATATATGACATGCCTGAAATATGACACATAAACTTGATATATGACATGCCTGAAATATGACACATAAACTGGTGGAGCAGATATTTGGCATGCCAAAAATATGACATATAAACTACTGGAAGAGCAGATTTGTGACATGCTTGAAATATGTCACATAAACTAGTATAGCAGATATGTGACATGCCTATAATATGACACATACACTGGTATAGCAGATATGTGACATGCCTGAAATATGACACATAAACTTGTTCAGCAGATATGTGAAATGTCTGAAATATGACACATAAACTGGTAGAACAGGTATGTGACATGCCTGAAATATGACACATAAACTGGTATACATAGCAGATAATGGACATGCCTGAAATATGACACATAAATTAGTAGATATGTGACATACCTGAAATATGACACATAAATTAGTAGAGCAAATATGTGACATGCCTGAAACATAACACATATACTGGTAGAGCAGATATTTATTAAAGTGCCATAAATTGGTAGAGAAAATAAGTGATGTGCATGAAATATGACACATAAACTGGATATATGACAGGCCTGAAATATGACTCATAAACTGGTAAAGCAAATATGTGACATGTCTGAAATAAGAGAGGTAAACTGATAGAGTAGATATGTGACATGTCTCAAATATGACACATAAATTGTTATACCAGATATGTGACATGTCTTAAATATGACACATAAACTGGTAGAGAAGATATGTGACATACCCGAAACATTACACATGAACTGGTAGAGTATATATGTGCCAAGCCTGAAATATGACACATAAACTGGCGGAGCAAATATGTGATGTGCCTGAATAAGATATATCAACTAGAAGTGAGAAATGTGGCATGTCTGAAATATGGCACAAAAACTGGTAGAGCGTACTAGTACATTTATTACACAATGAACAATGCTGTATTGTTAATTGTTGTAAGCAAATTGTATTACATAAAACCAGAAAGAAATTTCAAACCTACCCTCTGTTGATATGCTGGAGAACAGATTCGTTTTTCCTCCACTTTCAGATTATGGAATCTACTCAGCAGATCTGATTCCAATTCCTCACCATCATAGCTGTAATACATGTACATTTATTATCATCACTAGTCAAAACAAATCAAGACCTATTACATGGACAGACCACTTGACAACTTGACAATGCTCCCCCACCCCACCCCCTGGTTCTTATCCATGGAATAAAATCTTAATCTTTCATATAAAAATTCAGTAAAAAATTATCCCTAAATTGATGACATAAAACCTGCAAACTTGAAGAGGGACCCTTTTTGACCTATTAACTGCTATAAGTCTTATTATATAAATATGACAACTTAATATAAGTAAGTAAAGTCTTTATTTACTGAACCTTAACATTTGGTTACCCAATATTCCTTGTGAACCTCAAAGACATAATTTCTAAAATATACATCATTTACATCATGTTTATACAGTTAAATTTTCAAAATTATACATTGTATTTACATGAAAACACAAAACATAATATATTACAAGTCATGTACTTTATAGAAAAACACAATGCATATTTAAAGCACATAAAAAAAAGATTTACAAATGGAAAGAGGGATATTATTCTATAGATTGAGGTCCAAATAAATCAGAGACTTTCTAAAAATTTCTTTTTTAAGGGTTGTCTGGTACAAATAAATCTAAATTTCTTATTGACCTAAGGAAACACTCATAAGCAAGGCTTACCTGTCTACTGAACTTTCACTTTCAAATCGTTCTCGTGGACTTCTGGGATATTCTATCCTCATTTCAATGTCAGGTACAAGCTGCATGGCTCGACGATAGAAATTTACAGCTGATGAAATATAAATAGAATATTTCCTATGAATGTTAGTTTGACACTTGGCAGGACCATAAAGTTTCGTTTGTCAGGGTTTTAAGTCACAAAGGCACTGCTAAGGTCTTATGGAAATTTTGCAACTCTGCTTGCATCTCTGGTGCTCTTCATTCCATTGTTTTACACACAAGAAATCAAAATTAACAGTTATTGACATGGGAATAAAATTATAAGAATAAATATTCAATGATCCTGTTTACTTGTATTTTTAAATGTATTAATATGTTTTTCCTGTATGTTACAAAGAAGTTTATATGTAAAAAAAAATACTTGAAGACTGCCGGACACATGGAAGACAGGTAACAATATCCTTAAAATTCTTGAACTGTTACTTGCTAAGCACTCAGGATTTAAACTGGCAGATCTGAATGTCTATAAGGTACGGTAACTGCAAAATCATCATTATTTGTGGAGCACTAGTTTTTGTGGTTTCGTGTGTAGGCCAATCTTCTAATTTAAGATTCAACAAACTTTTCATTTTATCTGTTGTACAAGTATTTTTATCTCATTAATTGCTTTTCACTTTTAGATATGCAAAATCAGAATACCCAGGAATTTTAAAACCCATAAAAATGTCCTTTTTTTACAAAACCACAAAATTTCATGTCCGCCAAATCAAGTGAATTTCCTGTACTTTCCTACAAACTCTTTAACATGATCATCAAAGTCAAAGATATTTCGAAATCATTACCTTCATAGAGTGACCCCTCTTGTTCCAGTTTAGATCCCATCAAGAACAATGCAGCAGCCTATAACAAAGGGAGACAATTGATATCTTTCGTGTGAATACCTACAAGGGGTGGCGAACAAATATTGTTTCCTTCCATATCAGTCAGTAAATAAGATGGAACACATCAATTTATGTGGATACCAAAAGATAACAATATTTGCAAATTTGCTTATTTGGGAGTACTAACCTCACAATACTCGCTCTCTTTTTCACATTAAATTATATTTATTTCTAAAACTACCACAAAACTTACAAACCGAGCGTCAGTATTTTAAAATTTCTATTTTCAGGGTCATCACACTAGATTCTATCCGAATTGAGAAAATAACGGGTCTTTTGTTTAATCTACCACTGTGCTTGGTGTATTTTGTAAGAGGACTGACAGTTGTGTGTAGGTAGCAAAAGCCTGCTAACATCACTGTAAAAAAAGAAGTTACAAATGGTGGTTTTCAAAGGGAGCTTACCTCTTTCTCCACCTCATCTTTTTCAGATAATTCTTGATTAGTCATGTTTGCCTGACTTCCCTTTAATTCTGCCTGCCATTGCTGCCTAAATTGTTCCAATTGACCTTAAGAGTATAATAAGACACTTATTATAAACAAAAATAAATAGGTCAAGAATAAACAAATTAATAGGTGAAGGATGATAATACATAATTAACGATAGTTACAAAGGTCAAGTGAAATTCCAATTTTCTTATGACATGTATTCCAAATTAATTTGACATATCACATAACTTTCTTCAGATTCCGCACAAATTCAAATTAAAGGCCCATAATGCCCCAATAATGCTTAAAATTTTTATTTTTCAAAATATTTTTATTTCTAATGTCCTGTTTTAGTTAATACCAAAGAACGTTACTCATTGGACAATAAACGAAATCTTGTTTTGCTTCTGTTATTTTTTAGCAGTTAGTGATTTAGTATTTTTGTATAGAGAACAAGATCTTTAACCAGTGCATCAGTAAATATTGCCTTGATAAAATTTATGAATACACTGAAGCAAAGACAATTTAAAATTTTGATCAAAAGTTTTTTCTAAGTATTTTGAATTTGCTATAAACATCAGTGTGAGGAGACCATTTAGACATCTTAAAGTGCATTTCCGTTGGTGAATTAAACATCAAGATTATAGTATCTCATCATTCAAGCATCTTGTCTGGTTTATACTAGAATACGGCATTTAGCGTAATGCTCCAACACATTTTTACTCTCACTCTTTGATTATAATCTTTGACATTATAAGGTAAATTGTTTACTTTCTACATCCAAAGGTTCATCATTCTCATCAAATGCCAATATTTCTTCTTCTCTAAACTCCCCCTCAACTCCTTGCAACAAACTTGGCACTTCCTTTTCCAAATCCTTGAAAAGAAAATAATAACTTGTTGAAATAGAGACACTGTTCAACTTAAAAATGTGCTAATTTCTTAATATTGTAGAAAAGAAACATACACAATTTATTATGTACATGTTTGCAACTTATTCAACAAATCAGAAAATTACTCAAACTATATTTATGATTCCTTCATGATACTTTAACAATGGTTGCAGGTTATTGCAGAATTATCATTAAAAAAAAGCAAAACAAAAACAAAAACCCTGTTATGCATTTGAATAAGCTGTAAGTCTATTAATACCAAAAAATTCTTTTGCAGCAGTCTGCAAAATATACATTTATACGCTTATGTATGTCTTGTAGAATAAGAGTGTATATAGTCTTTGTTTAATGAGGGTCTATTTGCCCATTAAGACCCACGTTCATTTGTAGCTTTCGCTATAATATAAGGACTGCTGAAACATCAGTCATGCCCTTAAAGTTTAATTTTGAAACACAAATAGGTGCTAATCTACCTCGGTGAAATTTTCACATGAATCACACTTCAGGCAATGAATACTAAAGATACATGTACAATAACCTGCAACAATAATGAAGGCCGTAGGTTTCAGTGTTGCATCTAGAATTTCAAAATTATGGGGATTGTCCCCCACTAAACTGAAAAATGTTGGGATTTGAAAAACATGTTTTTGGGGGAGATGTATTTACCAAACAATATGACGACAAAAAAAGAATTCATTTATTTACGTCATTTTTGTCAACTATCGTCCACTAAACAACAAATAAGAAAAAGAAAAAAATATTGACGAAAACAAGTTAAACTGTCAATACACATACAAGATGACCAGTCGGCTGCTACACACAATTTAGTATGTATTTTAGTTATCACCGGGAGTGAAAACAAACATGGCAGAAATAAGTTGAAAAGATTGTCAGATGCAAGACTTGGCGTGCATTGACTTCATTAAAATGCTCAATCAGCAAAAAATATGCGCAAACAACACAATTGCGCGGCCTAGATGCAACACTGGCTCTTATAAGGGAGTTTCAAGCTGTCACTGTGTACACACTCCTGCCTTCTTTGTTGGCTAACTCCTCTCTGCTTAAGTTCAGACATTGGCAGCTAAATCCAATTGACCTGAGTTGTGATGCCTTAAACGTAACCATGGCCTGAGATGAAGAATTGAATGTGAACTAGCCGTCTTACACATCAATCATCAACCAATGCCTTGTCCCTCTCAATGACATGCACGTACAAAGGGGCTTATGGAGGTAAATGTCATATGTACATTGCTATTGTGTCGTGGCAGGGTCTTTCTATTAGAATGACCCTGGTCCTGGTGTTTAGTTAGGTTGCGTAATGATTACATTGCACAACAGTACAATACATGTAGGTACCTGGGTACTGCAATTTTCATTTTTAATTCTTATTTTAAACAGTTAACCTTTCCATTAATAATGGTTACCACGTTGTGACAGTTGCTGAAAACGAAAGATTAATTACCATTTTAAAGACTTCAGGCAGTCTTTGAAATTTCAAATAGTTAGTTCACGGAAGGTATACAAAATAACAGAGGAATACAAAAGTGCTCTCTTGACAGCTGCCATTTTGTGATGATTTTGATATTGGTACCCAGCTTTACATCCATTGTCTATGACGTAGATTGATGTAGGCCGGGTCCAATCCATTTTGACTGGTTACCTTGCAGAACTACCTCTTTTAAACAGATTTTGATGAAAGGATTTAAACCAGTCGACATATCATAGACATGGAAGGTAAACAAAATGAATTTGTATAATTCTTTGAAAAATCTGTAATAAAATTACATTTCTTTGTTAAAATAAACTTAAAAGAGATAATATGATTAGAGATGTTATTTTATCTTTAGGAAAATGCAACGTAGAAGTGTATTCAACGAATCCAAATCGCTTGAAAACATGGTGTGTCGCGTTTGTTGACAAGTTGTTTACACTTGTCAGCCGGTAGCTAAGGTTGTAAGAAATTTCATGAATAAATAATGCAACGAAAATAATGCATGTTTCCGAAGAAAATGGGAATGTATCTTATTTATCTTTTGTCTATGTCGACTGTCACATTTGGTAGAAATCACCAAGCCTAATTTTTATTATAGATCGATACAATTTACTGAAATATCCCGAAACAACCAATTTTCAATCACAACCTAAATTCAAACACATTCTTAATTCTGTGGCACTGATGTCATGCCTGACTAAATTGCATAAAGTCACATGTTGTATTAACTTCAAAACTTGCAGAAATGCCACACTTGATTAATTGTCAGATGTTTTCAGAAAAAACAATAAGAAACTGTTTGTTTTAAGTGACACAATATAAATGCAATCCGGTCAACTCGTCCCCTAGTCAACTCGTCCTCTGGTCAACTCGTCACCTTTTTGGTCAACTCGTCCCCTACTTTTGGTCAACTCGTCCTCAAAGAGTCAACTCGTCCCTAATATGGTCAACTCGTCCCCTACGTTCGATCTATTCGTCACTATTATGTTGTAAATCAATGTCTTTAAATAGTACTTTTATGTAAAATTAATAATGAATTTGATTGATATCGAAATATTAATAAAATAACGTCTTTTTTACGTTAAATTTTAATGATCTTTATCTAAGCGCACGTGCATAGCTTTGATGTAAAACTACAAAGACAGTTAAGTTTGCAAACATTCAATTAATGTTTAATTAATCGGAGTTTTAATGATAATTAAAACTAAAATTAGGTCCAACTCTTTGATTTTTACCTCCTCCCTGAATGGATTAAAGACTGACGACAGATTAACAGAAATTGGGAGTGCTAAAAACTTTATCATGTCGGTGCGTATTGATCTCATTATAGAATGATCGTGTCAATTAAAAACATGATAATTGTTTGTTGTGAAATTGTCAATTGTTTCTGATTTTTATAAAATTGCATTTCATTGTAATATTATGGTCCATTATCATAGGAGTTGTATAAACATACATGTATGCCTTTTGAAAGAGTTAGTATTTATTTATTTTTTCATTATTTTTTTTAAATAAAAAATCTGTACAATAATATTTGCCTTGGATATTAACTAATTGAAAACATAAAGTAATTACTAAATATTCAATTGCCTTCTAATAATTAGTAAAGATTAATATTAAATTTCCATAAATGAATCTTTAAACTGATCTCAAAGAGGAGTTGTATAAAACCGAGTTCCATATGAAAAACAAATAATAATAAAATATAGGGGACGAGTTGGGGACGAGTTGACCAGGGGACGAGTTGTCCAAGGGACGAGTTGACCAAAAAGGTGACGAGTTGACCAGAGGACGAGTTGACCAGGGGACGAGTTGACTCTGAATCATATAAATTGTCCAACTTTCACTATATCAAAATAGTCACTTGTTTAAAATAGTGGTAAAATTTTTTCTAAGCAAGTTAAATTTTTTATAAAGTATTGGCTAAGAAGTTTTACCATTTACCTCAGTCCTATGTGTATTTTAAACATTTATTTATATGATTTACCACTAAATATTCATCAGACTTTACATGGGGGTCCTTATTAATAAAATCTTATATTGTTATCAAATTTTTTCATGTGATGATTGTAGAATAATTGTTTTGTAAGCGATACCAGCTGGCAGATCTAGACAAGTTTCCATATTTGCTAATATTATAAAGTGGGGAAGGTAAAATGGCTGTAAAGATTGGATACATTTATCAGTTTGCACCCCAAATAGCGTACTAAGATGTGACACCTTTAACTGCCTTTTTATACACATTAACAGTAGTCATACCAATGCATTGTGCTGTACATATGTTATAAGATTTAGTGTAAGTTTTTTAAAATCTTGAAAAAACTGTTGAAAATCGTTGAATAGACTATTGTGAAGTTTTCTACAATTTTTAGTGGCCCTGATTTATCTTTAACAAATTTTCCATGGTGATTACCCTGCTGTTTGAATTTAGGTTAAAATATTCCTGGGAGTGACCCGAGTGGGTCATATTGTTTTTATTGAATATTGAAGAAAGATCAAGACTTGTTGAAAATGTACCAGCCTGAAAATGAATAAGTATTAATAGATGCATCCATAGCTAAAATGAATTTAATGCCCCGGTCACATATTCACGGATAATGCCACGGACGAGCTACGGTCTAATCGTTCACGGATTACTACGGAAATGTGAAATTCCGTAGTCCGTTACGGTTCAAGTACGGACACACAACGGTATGAGTGCGGAGTAAGACGGATTTACCACCAAAAGCCCCCGGAGAGACACGGATTGTTACGGACCGATACGGTTTGATACGGAGCGAAACGGACGCACTACGGATACACTACGGTCTGCTACGGTATAAGCACGGGTTAGTACGAATAAGTACGGTCTGATACGGAGAAGAACGTATTAATACGGAGAAGAACGAATTGCCACGGATCTATACGGACCTAATACATTCGTCAACCTCTTGCTTGCTCATTTTCAAAATGCCTCAACAGAAAAGAACATCTAGAAAACGAATTGCAGCGTTTAATGATTTTGGCGGAGAGGATTCAGCCTAATCGCGTCTGAAACCCGAGACACATCAGGTCCAATTAAAATGAATTTCTTGAAGGACGATGGATCCTCAACAAGTTTGGCCATGAGAGCCTCATATTAAACATAAAGCGGTCTTCGTAAAAGCCCATCTCTAGTCCACCATCTCGTCTGTCTTCTCGTACCTGATTATATATGGACTAGTTATCATTAGTGAAAAATGTTGATCAATACTGCTTCTTTTTCAATTTTAAGATTTGCTGTTCATCTTACAATTACATTAATTATTGTGATGTTTATGTTTTAAAAATATGTAAAAGCTTGTTAATTATATAATCTTATTATCACTCAAGGGCCAGTGTCCGAGGCTTATGAGATACTTCGTTTTATGTACATATTTATTCCATTTTCACGATCCAATGTTTGTAAAATATGAAACATTAAATGTTATTCTATTTCTTATGAATTGTAGTACGATATTAATATAAATTACTTCTATGCATGTCATCAAGCAGCTCGACCACTGCCTCCGCATTCTGAGCCATTTCAATATAAAGTTGCAGCCAGTTAATGGCAATTATCATTTATTAAATGTTCCTGCAAATATATGTCAGCTTTTAACAAGAAGGTAGTATTTATACCTGATTCTTAATTCATCTGTACTTAACAGTGGTGGGATGTACCATTCCGTACCGTTTCGTGTTGCAACGCAATAAACCGTATAAGACCGTGCTAATCCTTGCCTCTCCGTAGTACAACGTATTACGATCGTTGCTTTCCGTGACAATGCCGTAATAATCCGTATTAAAACCGTAGCTTATACGTAGGGTAACCGTGCAAATACGTAGTTCTCCGTACCAAACCGTCGAAATCCTTGACAAGTTGGTGGACTACGAATCAGTACGGACTATTACGGTTTTCGTACGGACCAGTACGTATTAGTACGGATTAATACGGACTAGTAGGGATACGCTACGGTTGATTTTTCCGTAGCAAATTTTTGTGCATGTTCAAAAATTGTCAAGGATCGCTACGGATATACAAGGACTTCTACGATTGATTACGGTTACAATACGGAGAGCTACTGACCAGTACGGGTAGCTACGGACGATGCCGGAATTAATCCGTGGCTCTTCCGTGGACGTATTCCGTGAATATGTGACCGGGGTATAAAGTATAATTTCCCCTTCCATTTATTATTGGCTAAAAACAGCTTAACTGATTGAATATTGGTTGTCCCGGGATATCTTTCATTATTCATGTCATCTAATTATTCTAAGATCTATATATTCTATATCTACAATTTAAAACAAATATCTTTTTTCATTACTGGTCGGGGACCACCAAAACCGGACAACCATCAAACCCGGACGGCCCAGAAAATGCTTAATTTAGTATTTTCTTTGTTCAGTGGTTGTCAGTCACTTTTTTATCAACAATAAATGCATGTTTCTTCTAAAATTAGGTAAATAAATTTATTTCAACCTCTGTAAATGGTAATATTTTAATGTCTATTTCAAGAATGTTGACGTTGAAATTTGGGGGTCAAGAAAGCAATGCCTGACATCATATACCAGCTATAATCATTTGCAGAGTAAACAACAGAATATCCAAAACTTCAGCATTTGTTGCTGACATACTGTATTTCATGTTAAATATCAAAAATCAAAACACCCAAGCTGTTATCTGAATTAAATCACGTTATATACATGTACATATCTGTTTGGACACATGGTACTGTAGTGTAGACAATTTAGGTAATTTTGATACCCTCCTTGTCAAGTCTCAGATATAAGTGTCAATACATTCAGAAATAAACAAACTAGTTTGTTAGTTAGGAGAAGAACCTAGCTGAACTGTGTCATATTTTTAGGTCTCTAGGTTAAAAAATATGAAATCTGTACGGAAAAATGTTCAAAAAGTGTCCGGTTGATGGTCGCCGACCAGTATTTAGAATCTATCCATACAAAAAATAATAAAATGGTGCATACATTTGTTTGATCAATGGATTTAAAGAAGTGGGGGAGGCAGCGGTAGGGGGGGGGGGCTATTCCAACTACATGATGTATACTGAGGGCCTGGCTTATATATTAACAGCAAGTTTAGTGATACTTTGAAATTAATGGCCCTGTTAGACTTGTCAAAGACACAGGCACTAGACAGAATTAATTTACCCATATACACTCATAATACTCTATATTCTTTATATATAGTAGTATGAGCGTAAATGGGTAAAATTAATTGTGTCTAGTGCCAGTGATCAAAGAGACATCAGGATAATCTTTTTCCAAGTATCAGTTTTACAGCATTAACAAAAAAAATTTGTGTAAAATGGGTCAAACTGTTCCTGCCAAATTAATTAGGCCGTGGGGACTTGTAGTTGTACATTTGAAGGGAAGTCTTTTGTCCTACCTGTAAATACAATGTATGATGGACAGCTTTTGTCCTGTCTGCATATTTCATCGGCTGTTGTCCAGTGCCATTTTTTTATGTGAGAGCTTTTATCTGTTTCCTAATTGCTGTAAATAATATACCATCTTAAGCTTCACATGATTTGAAAGGACTATGCTTATGGCCTTACAAATACTCCCAAGCAATCAAGACTCAGTCTGTCAATTACTGGTAAGTCAGAACAATGATCTATAATTTACAATATATTTCAAAAGAAATTTAATTAAGATACATGATTAAATTTTACTTTTTTATTGCTCATGACACATTTCTGTTATTCTTTTAAAGTAAAGAAATCATTGTTGATTTTAAAATTTATTTCAGGTCCAGAGAGAGTAAAGCTGAATCTAAAGCCCTGCAGGAATTGTGGGAGAACATTCAATCCAGAGTCATTGGTAAAAAGCATGTTTTAAACTTCAATCATATTAAACATAATCAAAGCTTTATGAGTGTGACTGATAAAAGTGTTGGAGCACCAAAATAAAAAATATATTCCAGCACAAGGCGCTTGAATGATTAAATGCTAAAATCTCGTCCTTTCCACAAATCTCGCCTTTCCACCTGCCAATACACACTGTAAGACATCAAATTCATTTCTTCACACTGATTTATATATGAAAATGAATAAAAAATGTAAGAATCAGTGAAAAGAGCAACATTTTTCTACTTTGTGATCATGATTTCTTGAAGTATCTAGATGTACTGCCTCGAAACTAATGAGTTAAATCCAAGATTTATTCTGGTAAAACACTGCTCTGTATGATGAACTTGTTGGTTGAAATTCAACCTCCAAGAGCGGTAAAATCAACTGTTTGCATTGCCCAGGTTGTCCAACAACCTGTACAGACAAGTAGAAATTTTCAAGAATTTATTTCATAAATACGGGCAAGTCAAGAAATGTTTCAAATAAAAAATGGAGAAGTAAGTAAAAATCAGACTTTGCAGGCCCTGGCCGCACTCTCTTATAAATTTGAAAATAAACTATTCAGAAAAGTACCATCCATTCAGAACAGTAAAATCTTTGATTTTAATCAAGGTAAATTATGCCCCAGAAATCCATATATATGAAATTCTTTAAAAAGGTTAAACATGTGTTTAAATAATGGCTTTTGAGCAGGTTAGATCTTTAACAGCTGAAGAAAGTAGCACTGAATGTTTTGTAATGTGTCATAAAGGAAGCAAAACAAAGTAGTATTTTGACTTCCGTACAAAATACTAATTTACAATAATTATACCAGTTGCCAACAAAGCAAAAGTAGCAAAGATAGTTCATCTATAAAATGTATGGCAAATTAGTTTTTTTTTTGTTTTTTTTAATCTATAGAAAATTAAAGTTTTTGTGAAATAAAAATATAGACTTTTTAACTTTGAGGGAGCAGCATTTATGAATGCTGGACATTGTTAACAGTAGATTTAAAGACTGTAACCATAATCCTGTTTAAACACTTAAAATTGGAAAAAATCATTTTTGAACCGATATGCAAATAATACTGTATAGTTTGTAACAATGCTATTTAAATATGGAATTAAGTTACACTCAGACTGTAATATAGATTGAACACTTGGCAAAATAATATTGTTATAAAGGTGTTCATTTTTGATTACTTAATTTATGTGTCACACAACTTTTATGTAAAGTTACAGGTATTATCAGTTTAAACAATATTAAATTTTAATCATACATACTGTGTATACATAATGATTATAATTACAATCAAATACAAAAAAAGGAGTGAGTAGAAAGCTAAAATCTTTTTTTTAGAAACTGTTATCTCACATGTATTATTACAATACATGTAACTTAAGTTTAAAGTATATTCTTGTTCCTAATGTAATTTACAATAAAAAAATCTCACAACCTTGAAGTAAAAAAACAGTTAGCTAAGTTACTGTTGTTTTCTTAATATTTGGAAAATTGGCCATTATTCCCTTTGATAAAGGAAAAAATATGGATATACATGTAACTTAGCTTTACATAGATAACCTTTACGCCATGCACTGTCACATATGAGGAAATTTTCATAATAATATAATGTGTGCTTTTTACTTTAAATGTCTTAATGTGCCATATAAACACAAGTAAATTCTTGACGCAGTGTTCTTAGCAAATTAAAGGGACTCCACTGAGGTTTTTTGTCATGGAGGGACTGGAAATAATATTTCAAGATTGATGTTCCATATAATGTAGATCTAAACCAATAACTTATGTGCAAAATTTCAGATCATTCGCTCACACTGTTTTTCCAGTTATTATTCTTATTGTGAAAAACAAGCCAAAATTTAAAAGCGCTTTTCACTCAAATCGGGCTAAGAATAACACAAAAAAATATGATTTTCAATTAATTTCTGTTAATATTTCTTACTTATCTATTGCACATCTTTTTGTTATAAGTGCCGCACATCTTTTTGTTATAAGTGCCCCAGCTAAATTATGTAAAAAAATTCAAATTTCATGTTTTGTGACTTTTAAACCTCAGTGGAGTGCCTTTAAGAAAAACTTTGGAGATGTGTAAAAGCAATATTGTGGTATCATGTTAAAATATTAAATATATATGAGCCGTGTCATGACAAAACCAACATAATGCGATTGCGACCAGCATGGATCCAGACCAGCCTGCGCATCCGTGCAGTCTGATCAGGATCCATGCTGTTCGCTTATCAACTCTATTACAAGTGGAGAAACTGACAGCAAACAGCATGGATCCTGATCAGACTGGGCGGATGCGCAGGCTGGTCTGGATCCATGCTGGTCGCAAAACCACTATGTTGGTTTTGTCGTGACGCGGCTCATATGTGAAATATGTATGTTATTTCTTCTAGGTAAAGCACGAAAAATCATGTAAGACTGTGAATAAACCTCGAAAGGTTTTTGATACATCTAAACAAAGAGCGACAGATGACTTGAGTTTGAAACAGATTAAGAATGCCCAGAAAAAGGTATGTGATCTTTTTTGTATGTTTTGTTTTTTTTACGAGTGATTTTCTTCGGCGAGAATAGATGATTACAATGTTATAAAGGGCTTTAATTAATCATAAAAACTGGCGAAAATTTTTTTATTTGATCTTGCTTTTAAAAGTCTTTTTTATCGCTTTTGATTTTATTGAAATATTTTGGCTCATCTGGAGGTTTTGCAAACATTTACATGTCTCATTTACTGCGGAAGGTTTTATCAGTTTTGTTTGAAACTAAGGTTTTCAGCATTTACAATGTAGTTGTAAATTTGCATAGGTTAGGACCACTTTCAAAGCCTTTCAGTATCTTGAACAGATAATTAATGAATGGGCAGAAATATTACCACGTTCTGAAGGGTCATGATCGTCACTTTAGTGCAATAACTGATTAACTCCTATAAATTTCAAAGGGAGTTAACACGTTAATTTTTTCAATCTTAGCAAGATCATTCATCATTTTCAGGGAAAATTTCAAAGTTACCACTGACTGAATTTGGAACACTTATAAAGTATTGTAAACCTGTCCTTAGTCAGGGACATGTGTTGACGTGTATTACTCTTTTATCTTGAACTTACATTGGTTGAATTTTGGAACAGTGCAGACCAAAACCAGATGGTCGGAATGTGCCAGCTGAGCCTGGTCTGCATAGGTATATACAGTAGTGGCTACCAGCCTGATGGTAAAGTTAGGGTAAACCAGTGCTTGTGGTTGAAAAAGCAAATATGAAAAGTACGAGTATGTTGGTTATGTTACTGAGTGAGGTTAAATTACAAATTTAAAACTGTATACTTTATCGTAAAGGATAAAGTTATTATGTATTATGAATAGTATATATAGTGTATGTATGATCAAAGAATCAACAAGAAAACTTTTCTATTTTTGGTGCCAGGCTGCAGCTGAGGCACAGAAAAAAGTAAGTTTGTATAGAAAAAAAACTCGAACAAAATGTTCCTGAATTGGAAGTGGTAAAATTTATAATTATTGTCATATAATATTACTGAAAAACAGTTTAGACTCATTTTGGTAATTACACATTCATTTGGGTAATTGCATATTCATTTGGGTAATTGCAAATTCATTTGGGTAATTAAACATTGATTGGGGTATTTAGGACTTTTTCTTGATAAGTGAAAAAAATATAAACATGAGAACTTTTATATTTTTATAAACCCGGTTAAGTAACTGGGGGAGGGGGGTTGTGTAGGGTGGAGAGAGGTTTTGAGTAGAAAAATTGAATGGTGTAGAATTGTATGTGACCATGAGAAAAAATTAACCACATTCAAGTACATTGTTTTTATTGAACCCTTCCCATTATTTATATCATAAATATGTGCTAGTTTCTATATGTATTTAAGAAATTTTCCTTTTAGTTCAAAAATCTGGTTCTTTGATTTTTGAAACATGTTTTAGGAGTTACTATTTCCTTTGAAGGTAAATTTAGGAGTTACTTTTTTAGAACTTGAAGTTACTTACATGTACCTTTGAAAAAGGGGTTTGACATAATACTGAATATGGATATGACTTGTTATTGTAAAAGTTCTCGATTTCACACTAAGCTTTATAAGGGTAATTCCAAGACAGGAAAGTCCCGGATGACAGGAAGGCCCCGGTTTTAGTCAATTGTTGTGACAGAAAGGCCACAGTTTGAGTCAATTTTTGTGCAGACAGGAAAGCCTGTTCTGTTGCCCTTCAGCCATTACGCTAACAAATTGGCATTGACCTTGAAGTTAAAATTATAATCAAACACCCAAAACTGTTCTTTTTATCCATGTACACACAGATATCCCAAAATTAAAATTCACCAAAACTCATTTGAGTAGACTGTTGGTAAGTACATCTGGCCAAAGTGCTCAGATTATCCTAAACAATGTGTATATATTGTATGATAAAAAAAGAAAACAACAAGAAAACTTTTCTATTTTTGGTGCCAGGCTGTAGCTGATCAGAAAAAAGTAAGTTTGTATAGAATAAAAACTTGAACAAAAATTAATGTTCCTGAATTGGAAGTGGTAAAATTTATAATTATTGTCAATCATATAAAACTACTGAAAAGCAGTTAAGACTCATTTTGGTAATTACACATTCATTTGGGTAATTGCAAATTCATTAGGGAAATTAAACATTGATTGAGATATTTAGGAATTTTTTCTTGATAAGTGATAAAAATATAAGCATGGAAATTTTGCTTTTTATATTTAGAAAATACCAGGTTTAATACCTGAATATAAGGGGATTCGGGAGGGGGATAGGGTTGTTGTGGGGGTGAGGGGTTTTGAGTAGAAAAGCTGAATGGTGTAGAATTGTATGTGACCATGAAAAAAAAATTAACCACATTCAAGTACATTGTGTTTTTATTGGACCCCCTTCCCATTATATCATAAATATGTGCTAGTTACTCACTGATGTATAAGAAATCTTCATTTTAGCACAAGATGGACATCTGACCTTCAGGCTCTTTGATAACTGAAACATGTTTAAGGAGTTACTTACCTTTTAAATAGGTTTTAAGAGTTACCTACCTTTTTTTCCGAAATTTTAAAAGAATTGTAAGGAAAACAAAAGTAAATCAATATTTAAGCAGCTCCAGTACTTAGTTTTACAGGAATAACTAATTCAAGGATAATATCCCCTAACCAAAATGGCATGCCTAGGACAAGCTTGTGGCAAGATAGAGACTTAGGTTGAGGCAAGTTTGCCACTAGTTTGTGGAAAGCTTGTGACTAGCTTGTTACAATGTACTATTACGTGATATTGCATGTTTTTTTTTTTTTTTTTTTTTTTTCATATTGTTTTTTTTTTTTATTATTTTATTTTTAAGAGGTAGGTATCCATTAGTTATATGTACTGACTGAACCACCTTTGTGATGAAGCAAATATAAAATTGTTTCAATGGAAACACATTTACTTTTTATGATAATTCTACAGATAAAATGTACTAATGACAAAAATATGAACAGTATGTATACCTACAAGCTTATCAGCTTGAAAGAGGAACATAGGACTAACTGTAGCTGTTTATATTGTATTATATTTGTTTCTAATTAGTTTTAACATGGTAATAATCTAAGACCTTGACATACTTTTCATAGGCATGCATAGTGTTTATTCAGATAGATAAGCCATTTAAATGAATGGTCAAATAAAAGCTGTTGAAGACTGTTTAGCAGTATGGGAAATACACGGTCAGAAATTTTCACCTTCAAGCATTCTCATTGGTCCAAAAAAGGTAGGTCAAAGACTTATATATTTAGCGTGATAAAGCATTTTAAAAGGATCAAACTCACATACTGTTACTGTTTGGTTCCAGCAAGTTGCTCCGCCCAAGTCTCATTGGAGACAGAAACACGAGGAGTTTGTACGAAACATTCGTGCTGCTAAACAAGCCCAAGTTGCTATTGACAGTGGCGGCCCACTCCCACCACCACCACCCCCATCGGAGAATCCAGGTAATTATATGAGCCGCTCCATGACAAAACCAACATAATGCGTTTGCGACCAGCATGGATCCAGACCAGCCTGTGCATCTGCGCAGTCTGATCAGGATCCATGCTGTTCCCCATCAGTTTCTCTACTTGTAATAGGGTTTGTAAGTGAACAGCATGGATCCTGATCAGAATGTACAGATGCGCAATCTGGTCTGGATCCATGCTGGTCGACAACGCATTACGTTGGTTTTGTCATGGCGCGGCTCATATGTTGTGTTCAAATATACATGTAAATGAGCTATGTCCTTTGATATCAGTATTTGATTTGTGAAAAATCTTTCCATCTTTAAAGAATAACCTGTCTCTTGGCCATTATTTCGAATGATCTTGAGTTGGTTTAGAGGTCTTATATTACCCCATCCCATTCCCATCCCATACAGACATAATGTGTCATAATTGCATGTCCCCTTGTCTAATATATTTAACGTTGAAGATATGTATGCACCTCTGTGGCTTTGAATCCCAACAAGGACTTTGGATTCTTTCATGCAAGGAAGCTATCCAGCTAGCCTAAGTAATGTCCGTGGTTCTACTCGGGTGCCCTTTCATGCCTGAAATAATAAACAGAGAGACACCTGAGGTCTTCCTCCACCAGTAAGGCAAGAAAGTGGCCGTATGACCTAAACTGTGTTGGTGTGATGTAAAACCCAACCAAAAAAAAAAAGAATTGTGAAAGTTAAAACCGTCTACAGGTCATTTAGTATATAAAGCTGAAATAAGAAATTATGAATTGAAATTAAAGTTTTCTTTTGAATTGCCACTTTTCTTAGAAAAACAACATTGAATGAGTACATGTAGGAACAGATCCTGTATCGAAAACCCAGGACCACTGATAGTATTAGACCATCATCTGTTTACATGCTTGAAAATACAGTTATTAAAAATAAAACAAAGCATTTAAAAAAAAATTAAGTGTAATATTCATTTCCTATACATTACAGACTACGTAACATGTCCGTACTGCAGTAGACGGTTCAACGAGAAAGCGGCAGATCGTCACATCAACTTCTGCAAGGAGCAACAGAAGCGCGTCCCAGCAAAACGAGTTCCGTCACAGCAGGAACAAAAACGAGCTGCAGCAACTAAGGTTAATTTTATGCAACTTTTTTTTCTTCAGTAAAACGAGCAAAAACATATTTCTTTTCATAATGATGTATGTTAGGCCATTAATGTATCATTGTGACTTAAAACCAAACCAAAAAAAACTACATTGTATATACATGAATGTTACGGAATGTTGGTGGTTCTACTCAGGTGCCTGTTCATATCTGAAATAATGCACAGAGGGGGTTCAGAGGTCTTCCTCCACATTAAAGCTGGAACTTCACCATATGACCTATACTATGACGATGTTTTGTAAAACCCAATTATTAATTTCAATTAAACAAACAGACAGATATACATAAATGTGACAGTAAACATTTTATTTTGTAGTACCAGCCACCAAAACCTAAAGTACGTGGTTCTCCTGGTGACTCTCCTATGGCAGGAGGTGGATATGGTTCATCGGGTTCATCAAGGGGAGGTTACTCTGGTGGCGCACCTCCCAGGGGGGCACCTGCAGGAGTAAGAGGCACACCACCTGGTCCTGGTATGTTATAGTTCCTAGTGATACGTATTGTTTTATATTTTTAATAGGTAAAAAAAAAATATTTGTTTCTGATTTCAAGTTATGGTTCTGTTGAGCCACATGTTGCTATCTTCTGTAAATTTCATCTTTTGATATATTATTATACAGTATTGATAAGTTCAACAAATTTTAGTGCATAATAGTTTATGAAGCACTGTCAGTTATTGCCATTTTTCTTTCAAATTTAGTACAAAGTTCTGTCAGTTATCGCCATTTTTCTTTCAAATTCAATGCAAAGTAATGTCAGTTATTGCCATTTTTTTTCAAATTTAATGCAAAGTCTGCTTGCCTGATATAGAGGACGAATTTCATTCTTAATGGATTTTTGTGACAGGGCTTTTAAACTAGGGCTGTCATTGTCAGAAAATTTTGTAACGGCAAATATTGTTGAGATCTTGAGTCAAATTTTGACTAGTAATTGATATGAGTTAATTAATTAAGAATGTGGGTTTGAATCCCGACAGATAGATTTTGTAAAGAGGCCTACAGTGAAAAAAGCCTTGAGAACTGAGTTAGTTATAGGGCCAAGAAATCAGAAACAAATATTTGTAAGCCTTTAATGTCCACATTGCTAAAATTCACCAAATCACATAATAAATTGTTTCAATTGTATTAATTATTTAATTTTGGTAATATTTTTTTGAAGATTATATTTTTGTTTTTACCCTCATGCACCTTTTAATTTGTTAACCCAGTTTTTTTTGTGTGTTTTTTTTTCTTCGGAATTAATATCATTTCATTGTAAATTTGTCAATTTTGCTGTAAGTTCAGGGTTAAAAGGGTAGAAATGATAATAATATAATAATTATAAAAAAGGGTATAATTTATCAAAAAGAACATTTGATCACATTTAATTATATGTGAAATAATGTTTTTTGTAAATTCTTAGAATAGATGATAAAACTAGTATGAAAACATGAACAATTTTAAGATATAAATTTCTGTGGATTTGACAAAAAAAAAAAAAATTCAAAATATACTTCTACCTTTGCCTATTCTTTTGCATGCTATGAATACAGGAGTTTATTATATATATTTAAAAATGAAATATTGATAAAATAACATGCTTATTTTCATTTTTCACTGTAAAAAGTTATTTTTCACTGCAATGAAGGATATTTTCTGTATTTATACTGTTGTCTTGCCGGACTACTTTCTTCTATAGAAATTATCTGCGAGTACACAAAATACAATGTCTTTGAAACTGTAATGTCTAAAAAGAGAAAAATATATATAATAAACAGAAAATTCAATTTTTTTCTATAAATACAGGATTTATTTTCATCTTGTGGTTTGAAAGTTATCATATTTCACTTGTGGCTACCACCACTCATGAAATATTTGTTTTCATACCACTCGATGAAAATAAATCCTGTATTTGTAGGAAAAAAACTTAAATATCCTCTATTAATTTTTTTCCAGTCATTTAGAAATGTCTCTAGATCTGAATTTCATCACTAAAATTGTGCTATATTATTACAAAGAGCTTGCAAACTTTTTTTAATTTCATTGCGGAATTTACAATTAATTTTGCTTATTTTCCTTTTACGAGACTTTAAAACTCAATTTCAAGGGCACTTGATGTTGTTTAAATTAACCTGCGTAACCCACATTTCTATTTTTTTAACCACAATAATCAAATGATTTGTTTTTTCTGTACTGTGTTGTACTACCTGTTATTTTCAGCTGCCAACGGCACTCACAAAACTAAAAACACGACACAAGACACTCCTCCTAAATCTGGCTCTTGTCAGATCTTATGACAAGGTACAGTGTATATTTCGGGGAGATATTACGTAGACGTTTGGCTTTCTTCCATACATTTGTCACCTCGCTCAATCCGCACATCACTCATTTATAACTCTAAACTTAATATTAACACATGACTAACTGTTGCAATGACTTATAACACCCATTCCACACATATATGTAACTGAAATCTAGCATAAACCATTTTATACATTTTTGCTATTTCTGACTAATGCCATTCCAATATAATTATGATTTCTGATTATAAAATCCTAACTTATTGCCATGTCTTACTATAGATTCATAAGTAATTGCTATATCTGACAATAAAATCCTAACTTATTGCCATGTCTTACTATAGATTCATAACTAATTGCTATATCTGACAATAAAATCCTAACTTATTGCCATGTCTGAATATAAAAATGTTAATGTTCTGCCATGTCTTACTTATTGGCATGTCTGACTACAAAATCCTAACTTATTGCCATGTTTGACTATAAGATCTTACCCTATTGCCATGTCTGATAACAAAATCCTAACTTATTGCTATGTCTCACTTGATAATCCTAACTTATTGCCATGTCTGACTTTTAAATCTGACTACAAATTCCTTTCTTATTGCCATTTCTGACTTCAAATTTCAAAGTTATTGACACGTCTTAGTATAAGATCCTTTACTTGCCATGGCTGACTATAAAATTCTGATGTATTATCCTGGCTGACTGTAAAATCCTAACTTATTATGGCTGCTTCAAGACTTAACTAATTCAAATCATAGCTGTATAAATTTATCTAGGTACAACTATAGCTAAACAAATACGGTACATTACATATTGAACACATAGGTAATATAAGTTATATAACACATATAAAATTGAATCAATCTATATCAGTTACAAAACACTTGGGTAATTAAATAAATCAATTTAAGTTACAAATATTTAGGTAATATAAGTAATATAATTTAACACATAGGTAATAAAAATAAATCAATATAAGTTATATAACACACAGGTAATTAATTAGATTGATATAAGTTATATAGCAGTCATAGGTAATTGAATAAATCACATAGTCCAAAAAAATAATAGCCAAATGTATTTAAAGCAATTCAACACACAATATAAAACTCTTGACAAATAAAATAATCATCATAATATAAAAGCCTTTTCATCCTTTACACTCATAGCTATTTTGACATAATTATATTGAATTTAATTTTATTGCTGATTCCATGCAAAAGTTAGTTCCACTCATAGCAAACTCCACTCATAGCTTATTCTACTCATAGCAAATTCCACTCATAGTAAAATTCCATTCATAGCAAAATTCCACTTGTAGTTGTAGCTAAAAGTAAACTTATAGTAAATTCCACTGATAGCAAATTCCACTCAAAGCAAATTCCACTCATAGCAGATTCCACTCATAGTCAATTCCATTCACTCATAGCTAGTTTGACATAATTATCTTGAATTTAATTTTATTGCTGATTCCATGCATAAAGCTAGTTCCACTCATAGCAAATTCCACTCATAGCTAATTCTACTCATAGCAAATTCCACTCATAGTAAAATTCCATTCATAGCAAAATTCCACTTGTAGCAAATTAAACTTATAGCAAATTCCACTCATAGCAAATTCCACTCAAAGCAAATTACACTCATAGCAGATTCCACTCATAGTAAATTCCATTCATAGCAAAATTCCACTTGAAGCAAATTTAACTTATAGCAAATTTCACTCATAGCAAATTCCACTCATAGCATATTCCACTCATAGCAGATTCCACTCATAGCAAATTCCACTCATAGGAAATTCCACTTATAGCATATTCCACTCATAGCAGATTCCACTCATAGCAAAATTACACTCACAGCATATTCCACTCATAGATAATTTGATTCATAGCAAATTCCACTCCTAGTGAAATTCCTCTCAGCAAATTCCACTCATAGCAAATTTCACTCATAGCAAATTTCACACATAGCAAATTCCACTCATAGGAAATTCCACTTATAGCAAATTCCACTCATAGCAGATTCCACTCATAGCAAAATTACACTCACAGCATATTCCACTCATAGATAATTTGATTCATAGCAAATTCCACTCCTAGTGAAATTCCTCTCAGCAAATTCCACTCATAGCAAATTCCACTTGAAGCAAATTTAACTTATAGCAAATTTCACTCATAGCAGATTCCACTCATAGCAGATTCCACTCATAGCAAATTCCACTCATAGCAAATTCCACTTATAGCAGATTCCACTCATAGCAAATTCCACTCATAGCAGATTCCACTCATAGCAAAATTACACTCATAGCAAAGTTACAATCATAGCATATTCCATTCATAGATAATTTGTTTCATAGCAAATTCCACACTAGTGAAATTCCCCTCAGTAAATTCCACTCAGCAAATTTCACTCATAGCAAATTTCACTCATAGCTAGTGCAATCAGCTCGCTGAGTCAGTACCACATTATCAGTAGCTCGTTGTTTAGTATGTAATTCCATGAGCACTAGTATTCATGTCTTTGACCTAACAAATTATGTCAAACATTTTGAATACAGAAATTAAATAGAGGGTGAATGCACATTTCTACATGCATTAACATCTGCTGAAGCAAGAGGACTCATTTAAAGCACGAGCCCTCGGGCAAGGTATTTAATAAGTCTGAACGCTATTTCAGATGTTAATGCCACATAAAAAGGTGCATTTGGGATATTCTTACATAAAAATATATGTCTCTAATATGACAATTCCATATATTTTTTTTATCTGTTTCTCATATAAAGTTATCATATAAAGGAACTATTCAGTTATGCTTTCCACATGCTAGTTTCGATGTCAATTTACAGTGATTTTTTGATAATGAATGTAACAGGGCCATCATTGCAATAGGCTATTTTTACACGGTGCCCTTAGTCCTTAATGCATAATGTTAACTACGTGCAGAGTTTTTTATGAAAGAATGAAAAGTTACTGTCTATCTTATATTCAGTATTGCATTTTCCATGTTATCCTCTACCTAGACATTTCTGTTAAATATCTAATGTGTTATAGATATATATATATCTATTTATGTGTTGTGTTGACTTTTTTTATCTTTATTGTATTGTAGTAATTCTGTCAATTGATACTAATTTTGTACACACACACCAAAATTTCTGTAAGCTCTTTGGCCTACAAAATGTTGAAACATGGGGTTTTTGATAAATATTGTGCCCATATTAAATACTCAAACAAAATAATTTAGAAATCATTATTATTGGATTGTAACTATATTGACTCAATATTTGAACCATTGTATTTTTAACCATATAAGTGGAATCATTTTTATGAAGTTAAGGTGCAGGGTGTCACGCAGGGGGAAGAATTTTATTAAGTTCAAGCCTGAGAAAGGGAATGTGGGGGTGGATGGTTTGGAATCACATGGCATTTAGACTAGGGGAATAGTTATCAGATACGTGGGCTGAGCTAGCTTTTAATTTCTTTCCTTTCACTGCAGTAATTTTGTGTCGGTTCTGTGACTTTATGATTTTGTGTCCGTTCTGTGACTTTATGATTTTGTGTCCCTTCTATGACATTGAAGTTCTTATATAATTATGTGAGTTATTCAGGGAGTATATGGATTGTCTTTGGTTCAAATTGTGTGCCCAGTCATGCCTGGTATAATGTTTGGTCAGGAACAACAGACCTCTTGATGATTTTGTAAGGCTGGAATGTTACCATATGGGCTTTTCAGAATCAACAGTGCTGCTGTAATGATTTGGGGTTTTATAATGGCGAAAACATAGTTGCAAAAAAACTTGACCATTAGCACCCCACAGGGCAGCTGATTCTACCCATGCTTCCAGTGCAGACCAAGATCGGCTGGCACATACTTTGGAGGCTCTTGTGGCTGAGGGGTTGCCTTTCAGGGTTGAGACATCAGAATTGCAGCTACCGTTCCTTTTTACATGATCGTAAAAGGCGAAATGGGTTCAAATTATTTGAGTCTATATAAGCATCTCTTAGCTCCAGCAGGTGAGATGGTTTACACCTCTGGTGTTGCTTTAAGTTTGTAATACCTGAGGTAAGCCAAAATCATCTTTTCTGTTTTGGCGCCATATGACCTAAATTACATTGTTGTGACCTTAAACCAAACAGATAAAAACAATCACATAGAAACTGACACAAAATATTAAGGTTACTGCAAAACTGCAGTAACTTATATGATAAATAAAGAAGAACATACAACAGTTTTGCAGTCAACCCCATGCTATATGAATCACAATATGAAAATCATATCATTTCCACCTTAAGCCATAGACATGTACATATATATATATATAAAGTAACACCATTTTCTATAGTGCCGTCAGTTTTATTGTAGTTTAGTTATATATATACATGTATATTTTTTGGTTGCACTGGCTTTTCTGTTTACATTTTAATGCCCAAGAAATTGAGTTTTATGTCTACTGATTATGTTCACTTTTAAAAAGAAAATTCTTTTCTTGTTTATGTTGTCCACATAATGAAATTTCACCTGACCTTAAGGTGACAACAGACACTTTCCGTGGTACTCACATAAATGTCATTTAAACCAACTTATTTTAGTAATAATTGTTATTTATTTAATCTTTGTGCATTAAATGTCGTTGATCAACATAAAAAATAACATATTTGAAAAAAATGCCTTTGTAAATGATTGATTTTTAATAAAAATCCTAAAATTTTAAATCGTCATATCAAAGTCATTTTTTATTTTTTTGTCATCAAACTTTTGGAAAATAAACATACTTATAATATCTGGGGAACCGTGTCTCAAATTTTTTCTATCTTTTCTCAAAAAAATATTACGTAACGTCAAACATTTTATGCGACTTTTTTCACCATACATATTACGTAATTAAAGATAATTAAGTCGCTGATTGAGCAAACAAAAATCCCTGACACGGTTCCCTCCGTAAATAAATTCCCTTTCATGTGCTTTAAACCGCATGTTAATTGCTTGATTATTAAAAAAGTTATGCCGATTCAAAGTTAGTCCGACCCGCATCAAACGAAGTGTCATAAATCGGCTGTTCTCTCTCGGACCCCTACGTTTCACGCTAAATAATTGCATAATACACAAATATCGCACCAGAGAGGGTCACAAGTTTCGCTAACATACTCTAACAACATTTTATGACCCAGTGACATCTGACCAATTAAAAAGTTGCTGATTAATATCAGTTTATAACAGATTTTTTTTCAAATCTTAACGTGATTTACTGTCGGTCGCACATGTCACGTGACTTTCGGTAAAATTTGAGGCACTCGGTGGGGGGAAATGGAACGTATTTGCGCACCGCTAGCGGGGTATTTAATTGTTTCACTTTTGAAGATTATTATTATTATCATCAGCATTATTATTATATTATACCAGTGTCACTGTGTCTGTGTATTCGTGTATGAAATTCCGTTAAAATATAAATTAAAATAACAAAAAACTGAGCTTCTGATGGTCTTTTAAAGTCCATGGTAAATGTAAAAATAAACGAGATATTATATATTTCTTTCTTCAAGTTGAAATAAATGCTTGACATATTATAATAGAAATAAAAGGTATCACTCGATCATTATGATCTGAACTTTATGACTTCTTTTATCATGAAAATCATCTATGCACGGCATAGATATCCAGTTTCTACTGGGATATACAATAAATTCCATACTTTGTCCCAGGTTTATTAGTACTGTGTTCGATTTACTGGCGAACAATTTATTCAGAGCATTCACTGATAGTATATATTAATATCTTTTTTTATTGATTCATAGAGAAATGATCATCCTTAAACAATCTAAAATGGTTTAGAAATTTGTCAGGGACACCTTACCACAAGTCATATAGGCGTTCACATAAAAAATGTTGTCTGTTTTTGTTGTTGTTTTACTTGACATTGTTAGAAAACGAGGTTGAATGTAAAGCAAGCCGATGAATCCGTACAAAAGTCCATAAACTCAATGTAATATCTATCAGATTAACGGGACAGACAAATTATTTTCACACATTATGGATATTTTAGCAACTATATTTTAAATCAACCCGTGGTCGTGCGATTTGCCGCTATGCTTAATTATTTATGTTTCATACATTATGTTACGTACATTGGCCGACAATTTCTTATTTTATAAAAATGCTTAATAAAAGGTAGACGATATTCATAAAAGATGTACGGTATTTGTACGATACATGAATTACGAGTAGTATGGACCAGTATGGACGGGTAATTCACGGATATATGGAACTACCGATTTCCCTCATTGATGCCTCAACAGGGGGCGGAGCGTTATCGATAATTGACAGGTTACGCGAATAGCAGATAAAAATGGTACAGGTACCGTTTTAAAACGTTTAAAAACACATTTTTTGGACTAACTGCTTCCAAAATTAAATCACGAATGTGTTCAGAAAAGGTTGATAAATCTACTAAGCAAAGAATCTCATTTTAGGTATTTTCAGTAATAATTGACTCCGTTGTCACCTTAAAGCTTAGTTAATGGACACTTAAGTTGATTTATTTTAATGAATAACTAGAGTTATGTGTTAAACAAACTGTTTATTACAATGTGGAACTTGGAGTTAAATTTTTTCGAAAGAAATGAATAAGTCCATTTGAACATTAATTTAAAAAGAAGATATCTTGGTTTTGGTTGTTTTCAATTGCTAGCAATAATTTATGATTTTTTGGTTTCAGAAATGGGTGGTAGATCTGCAGGAGGGTATAGTTCTGGCTCCCAAGTTTCTCGAGGCCGGGCTCCAGCCGGGGGTGCCGCTAGAGGTCGCCAGGCTCCTGCCTCCCAAGGAACCTATGTAAGTATTTGCTAATAATTCTTACATCTTTATTAAAAAGGGAAATAACTAAGGAAAATGGATGTCACAGTTGTGTAACTTTGCAAGAAAAAAAATAGCCTTTAGAGGGCAATAATGACTTAAGTCTGAATGCCCCTTACAGAGTCAGGCCAGCCTGCACACCCATGCAGTCTAATTGGGCTTGATACTGTTGACAGCTTAATCGTATTATTTGGAATCTGAAATCCCTTAATTAACTAGTGGAATGTTTCAAATTAACAGCTGGACAAGTCCATTTTATATATTAATGGGGGTAAGAGTTAAGAAAGAAAAAAACCCAAGTAATCAAGGACTAGGGGTATTCTCATTTTGAATTTATTCATTTATATATGACATTATCAGGGTTTTCATTATTAACAGATTGTTGATTGAAAGGGGGTTGAAATTGGTTGTATTTCAAGCCTGTAGGTTATAATGCTCCCATTGACCCTTGGGAAATAGGTTTTTATTGGCACATTTGATGCCCCTCCCCCCCCCTGCCCCCTAAAAATAATGAAAACCCTGCTTTATTAAATATAAGATAAATCGGAAACAAATAATTGTATTATATTTGGCACGTGCTAGTAGCTTTAACTGCCATAGGGCTGTTTATTGTATAAAAGATAACAAATTTATGCTTTGTAAAAGTCTGATTTCGATGGAGATGGCTTATAAGTAGAATGCTTTGCATGAACAAGTCGTCAATGCTAATTAATATCAAAGCTTTGGCTCAAATTTGTAATGCCTAGGTGTTTTAGTAGCATGTGAATTTTCACGATTTCATTTAATTTACAATTATTTTAACTCTGTAGAATCTCACAATAATTATTGTTTTTCTTTATTTTTACTTCTTCATTTTGAGATTTATTTTGTTGTCGTGGGATTCTTTCTGAATATAAAGAATGGTTAGTTTATAGAAAAGTGGTTCTTAAATTTATTTATATCCTCTCATTCTATTTATAAATATATCGAACAATATAGCGCTATGAATAGCCAAATGTATATGATGTTAATACCGTACAATGCCATATGTCTTTTTAACATATATTGTCATAACAATCCAACACTCCATTTCCGAAAATGACCAGAAGGTAAAAATTGGTTTCCAAATGACTGTTTAACAGTAATATAAAAAACATTACATTGAAGAAATGGAGATTAGTTTAATTTTCTATAGATATCTGTAGGATATTACAAGACCCACTTTCTGTGGCCTCATGAAACTTTGTAGATGTACAGGATATTGTAGTACTTTTGTATATCTGGTGCATCCGTGGCCGAGTAAGAAAGGTTGTTGATTTCAAACCACTTGCCCCAGCATTGCTGTGTTCAAAACTCTCAAGGGACTATGGATTCTTTCATGTAAGGAAGCTATCCAGCTAGCTTACAGAACATTGGTGGTTCTACTCAGGTGCCCATTTATGCCAGAAATAATGCAGGGAGGGGCGTCTGAGGTTTTCCTCCACCAGTAAAGCTGGAAAGTTGCCATATAACCTCTATTGTTCTGGTGCGATGTAAAACCTAGCTGAAAAAGCAAAAAAAAAAAACATTTAAATTTCTGATGACATAAATTGTAAGTTTGAATTCAGAAATCAACTCCAGTTTCAATTTAAAAATGTAATTTTAATTTGAAATATATATAATGTTTCGTCTCAAAAGTCTTCATCTTAAAAAAAATAAAATGATAAAAATAAATAAAAATGATTCCTTCTTAAGGTTGAATTTCTTATTGGAATTTTAAGTTCAGGATTTAAATTTGGAAAAAATAGTTTAAAATTAACGTCCAATTAGAAGTTAAAGAGTTTAAAATTAACGTCCAATTAAATATTAAATGTTGACATTCAGTTAAAGCATTGACTTACTTTGATAGCATGAAGAAGAGAACCGTTCAAGGTAAAGTAATTTTTGTGTTAAAATTTTTGATCAATTGTGTTGTATATGTTTATATTGTTTACTAAAGTTGTTCGCCCCTGCCATAAAATTGATACTTTTTCAAGTGCTTTTTGTATGCACACATTTTTTAGTGTCCGCTAGATTTTATTGAATACTTAACAATACAGTTTTAAAGCTGAAATAGTTTTAAAGCTGAAATCTAATTTATTACTGCATGTTTTGGTTTTAAATTTTTATACATTTTTTTTTTTTTCGGAATTTTAAATTTGTATTTTAAATCAGGCAAATAAATACGGTGATGCCAATTCTGGTCAAAATGGTTTAATGGCTGATCCCCTTCGAGTTCTGTCAGGGCGGTCCTTAAAACTTAGGGAAGACAGAAGGCCCGCCTCCAGAGATAAACCTTCCAATCAGAACAATGTATTATCAACCAATAGGTATCTTTGCAGTTCATTGCATGCATATTAATCAGGTCTCAAGCTGTAATCAATAAATTTAGATTTATAATATATAATATTTATTGTTATTAAAATTTGTTAATGTTATCATTTTGAAATAGGTTGTTATGTTCTTTTATAATAGTTATGCATAAAAAAAAATCTAATTATGGTGGCTTGTATTAATTAAAAAAAAAAAAAAATTCCTGTTGTTTTTGAAAACATTTACAAATTCCTGTTATTTTCAAGAATAAAATAAACAAAAATAACATAAACTGTTATTTTTAGGAAAAAAAACAAGTTCCTGTTAATTTTGAAAAACAAATTCAAGTTCTTGTTACTTTTGAAAATTGCAATCACCAGTTGTTTTGTTTGGATTATTTTTTTGTAAATATTTTCAAAACTTGTTCAGATTTTACTTACCATTTCACTGAAATTGAAATATTAAGTATGCACCTATGTTTCAAAGATAAAAGATATTAAAATAAATTGCACCATTTACATGTATATAATGTTGCGATGTTTAACAATGTTTTTTTCATCTGTTTACAATCTTGAGCCCTGACTTACTAATCAAAACTATGCATGCTTGAATTAATACTTAACCTACATTTATAAGTAATGAGTAAGGGTACCCTTCTTTAGAAATTGTTTGTGCGCAACTTTTGACCCTTTTGGTCATAAGATGAATAAAAATAATAATCCTAGAGTTGTTAGACAAACAGACATTTCTAACTTTTTTTTGTGTCAGAGGTTATTGTGGTGAATTGAGTGAAGTAATGGACTTCTAATCTTTCCAAGGACTTGAAAAGAAATCTTTGAAAACTTCTTGAAATGCGTATAATTCTGGTTTATGTTTTAATTAATGATAATTTTAGGAGAGTCAATTTTGATTCAGTATGATGCACGGTTAAAAATAAAACAAGATAAAAATGTAAAGCACTAAGTGTTCCATGATTGTGGCCAGTACAAACCAAGATCAGCTGGCAATTTTGTGCTCTCTGATCATGGTCTGCACTGTTCACTTTTCAGTCAGTATTATTTATTTTGAAATTTTCGCTTAAAATTCATGAATGATTTTGTCAAAATTTGCATGATGGACAGGTCAATTCAAGATATTTAGCATGGTTTAGGGCCAATGATTTGTTTTTGGTTCAGTTCTGCATGAATATAAGTAACAGCATGTTTATAAGTAACAGTAAGTTGAATAACTGCATGCATGAATTTAAGTAATAGCATGTATATAAGAAGAAATAGCATGAATATAGTCCACATGTTTCATGCGTGGATCCAGAGGGTTGTTAGAGTGGATCATGAACTCCCCTGGGATTTGCCTAGTATGTGGAACCCCTCTGATATTTTGAGATCAACCTAAGGGTTTTTTCAGGCAAAAACTAATGATAATCAGCAAAATTATTTTATAAATTATGACCCACTCTGTAAAACTAATAAAATTTTTACACCCCTTTGCAATATGCATAATTTCGTATTGAAATCATTCAACCCTGGCCTTGAGTAAAATATTCCTGGATCCACGCCTGAAGTTATATCTATTCAGTATGTATTAAGTGGCAAGTTGCATGAACTACCAAACAGTACTGTAAGATCCCACCTTATCAATTATGTAAAAAAAATGTCAAATTTTGTAAAAAGAAAGTCCGGTTTTGTTAAAAGAAAAAAATTATCGTCCAATGTTCTGGATTCCATTACCTGTCCTAGATTCAACACCAGTTCTGTTCAAATTATGCCTCAGAGTCTCATTGAGTTGTTTATTATGGAAGAAAACAAACGTAATTATATTTTTAAACATCTAAGTTAATTTTAGTGATCTGCAATATTTCTTCTAAGTAGAAGTTCAGATTATTAGAAAATATAGTGTATCAAACAAGCATTGTAAAAATGCCTCGGGTAGCGAATCATGGCCACCCTTGGATACGTGATTGTGGAATTTTTGCTAGTTTAACATAAGCATAGCTTATCATTGTTTAAAATGATTGTAGTTGTTTCTTTCTAGTTTTTGTTTGTATATCATTGTAATAATAATTATGCTTGCTTGTGTATGTGCAGTTTTACTACTTAGTTATATTTATAAACATAAAAGTTTTTTTTTATATTTTTAACTTTCTATATATATTTATTTATTTTTTACTGTATAAAAAACATTTTCCATTACATACATTACCATACTATTTCCAAAGAATAAAAGGGGAAAAAAGATGCAAATCCCCTAGTTAACAGTATGAATGTCACATATATATATGTTTACTTTTTTGTAAGGTTATAAATACATTTGTACAATATTTTCTGTACAGGTCACCAGGTCAAAGGTCAAGGTCACAGGGGCCTTGACTTCAAAAAGCTTGTCTGCCCAATAACGTATGATTCCTTTGACCCACAGTCTTCATATTTAGTCATGATGAGTAGATGACCCCTATTGATTTTGAGGTCACTGGGTCAAAGGTCAAGGTCACAGGGGCCTTGACTTCAAAAAGCTTGTCCCCTATATGCATATAGTAAAAACTTAAAAAATCTTCTTTTAAAGAACTCAAAGAGCTAGAGCTAAGATATTTAGCATGAAACATGTTCTAATGGGTGTCTACTATGTTTGTTAAAATAAAAGCCCTGGGGTCAAAATTGGCCCCGTCCCAGGGGGTCATTGATTTTCCCTATATGCATATAGTAAAAACTTAAAAAATCTTCTTTTAAAGAATCCAAAGAGCTAGAGCTTAGATATTTGGCATGAAACATCTTCGAATGAGTGTCTACGAAGTTCGTTCAAATAAAAGCCCTGGGGTCAAAATTGGCCCCGCCCCAGGGGGTCATTGATTTTCCCTATATGCATATAGTTAAAACTTAAAAAATCTTCTTTTAAAGAACCCAAAGAGCTAGAGCTAAGATATTAAGCATGAAACATCTTCTATTGAGTGTCTACAAAGTTTGTTCAAATAAAAGCCCTGGGGTCAAAATTGGCCCCGCCCCGGGGGTCATTGATTTTCCTTATATGTGTATAGCAAAAAACTTAAAAAACCTTCTTTGAAAAAATCCCAAATAGCTAGAGTTTAGATATTAAGCATGAAACATCTTCTAGTGAGTGTCTACAAAGTTTGTTCAAATAAAAGCCCTGGGGTCAAAACTGGCCCCGCCCCAGGGGTGTCATTGTTTTTAACTATATGTGTATAGTAAAAACTTAAAAAATCTTCTTTTAAAAAACCCAATGAGCTAGAGCTTAGATGTTTAGCATGAAACATCTTCTTATGGCTGTCTACCAAGTTTGTTCAAATAAAAGCCCTTGGGTTAAAACAAACTCTGCCGGGGAGGGGGGAGAAGGTCATTGTTTTTCCATATATGTGTATAGCAAAAACTTAACATCATGAAACATCTTCTAATGGGTGTCTTAATTCCAAGTTTGTTCAAATAAAAGCCCTGGGGTTTAAACTGGCCCCGCTTCGGTGGCCTATATACAGGTGAGCGACCTCAGGGCCATCATGGCCCTCTTGTTAATGCTATAGTTATCATTCGTTGAAAATTGGCTATTTTCAATTTCAGGGGCGCTATGGACGGTAAAAATCATGCACGATCGGCCAACAAATCATCACCATCATCAGGTCATAATCTACATGTTACAGACTCTGGTTACCATAGCAACAGTTCGGAAACCGATGCCGCTGTTCCCAGAATCCGAAAAGTGGGTCGGCCGAGTAGTGGCGTCGCTAAATTCTGTCATGAGTGCGGCACCAAATATCCAACAGCTCAAGCCAAATTTTGTATGGAATGTGGCATTAGAAAAATAGAAATACATGCAAGATAAAGAAAGATAACTCTGAGTGGCTTACTTGACATTTTCCCCTGAAAATGATTTTGAGTTGTCTCCCTTTAATCAGGAGCAACACAGGTTACTTCAGGAGTAGATTTATTATGTTAAGTTTTTGTTTCAGTTACAAATATGGGTATCTTGTCATATGATTAGTTTGGTTTATATTTTCACTGTTTGAGTCTTCTAAATGTTGATGGTATACAATTTGTCATTGCAAAAAGTTTGAGTTATTTTGAAAACGATTTTTGGCATGACTTCCAAGATTTTTGACATGGTTTCAAAATTTGTATGAGCAATTGTTCAATGTTGGGCGTTTTTATATATCTTTTAAGTTAATCAGTTTTTAAACACAAATAAACAGAAATGTTCTGGTTCATTTAATTAAAAAAAAAGAAAAGATTAATATTGTTAAAAGAAAAAAAAAAAGAGGAGGTTTGATTTTGATTATTTTATGAACTATTATTTAGTTGGATTTTTTCGCTATAAGTAATAGATTGGCTGGTAAAAAAAATTACCAGACTGTGAATACCATTTAAGCAGTCCTGCAAGCAGTAAAGATTTGGACACAGTCTAAATTATTTTTGATATCTTGCCAATTTTGCATGGTACTACACTTCTTGTTCTGTTTTTTTACACAACTACACATTCCATGGCTTGTTAAGAAATGTTAATTTATCCATCATTATATGAATATTCATCATAACTTATTTCATCATATTTGGTCAGTTATGAAAATCTTATAAGCACCTTTGTGACCATGAGTAACATTGATTCCGTTGGTTAAACAATATATAATAAGCATTTTTATGACCATGAGTGACATTAATACCATGGATGCACTATATCTTATAAGCACCTAAATTACCTTGATCAGGATATGTTCTTGTCATTTAAAAGCTTTAAAAGAAATTAGACAGGGACATGCTAATATATGTTAATAAAAATAAAATTATGCTCATTTTATATGACCTTTGGATGGATAGATTACATTTAATCACTTTTATAACAGCGCTTAATCTCATATACATGGTAGTACAACTACATGTTCAATAAGAGATTTTAATTATTATGATGTAAAAAAAATGTCAATGAAATTGAATTGTCGCTATGGTAACAGATGTTTATGTAAGGTACATCAGCTTGTCATAGATTATAGATATTATATACTAGGTAGATATTTCAATTAATTGTGTTGTCGTGCACAGAATTTTACATACATGTATTTATTTATTTTATTTGTCATTTTTACATTTGGAAAATTGCATGATTTCTTGGTTGTTTTTTTTTATTTTTTACAAAAGAAATGTCCATGGTTATCAGTTGGGTTAAAAAATACATAACTTTGTTGTCAAGGAGATTGAAATATTAAGGGTGTTTTTATTCTTGCCCTATACAGCCGAACCCTGTGTTAAAGACCACCTTCAAATAAAGACCACCCCATAAATAAAGACCACTCTTCGACCATCCTACATTGATAAACATACAACAGTATAGTCATAGTTATTGGTCATGACTTGTAGATACCCCCGATTGAGGTCACAATTTTGGGGTCACAAGGTCAAGGTCACAGGATCCTTAAATGTCAGAATAGTTAAACTCTAAATAAAGACCACTTAACTACAATGGCCATGTATGGAATCTCCTTCGGATGGACTTTATTCACAAGTTTTATTGTATTTTACATTGATGACATACTTAAAGGTGGGTTAGTTTGGCAAATCCATATCTGCTTGGTTAAAGGGGTCATATTGTGATGGTGGAATATTCCTGATTTTTCGAAGGACACAACTGGTGATCATGGACATAGTGTAATAAGTTTGCTTGAATATCTAAATGGAGGGTGCACTTTATACCAAGTATAAAAGACATAGAATTATATTCATTGTGTTTATATGTTATTGTTGTTTTGAAAGAGAGTGAATTGTAAAGGCTTTCATATGTAACCAGGTGAATAAGGAAGTTTTACTTAGATAGTTTTCTCTATTATATTTATGTGATATATATAAACTTCATACTGTAAATAGAGGGTCAATGTCTCGCTGGGAATATATAATGATTTGTACAGTAGTTTTGATTGGTAGAACTCATTTTGTAAAAGAGTCTCTGATTGGCTGATATAATTATCAATTTATATTTGAAAACTCCATGTACTTTGAATGGTTTTTGAAATAGTAACAAACAGTTGATGTGATAACAGGTATGCTGAATTGTTTGATTGGTTGTAGTTTTATATAACAGGTGCTCTGATTGGTTGAATCATATAAAGAAGATTTTTCAAAAAATTAAACAATAAACAGTTCATTCTAACATAAAATAACTCAAGTAAGGGGTTGAATTTCATGATTTATAAATACTCACATGTAATATTCTGTAAGATAGGTAAAAAGTATATTTAGGTAAACTATCATTAATAGTGCAAATTATGTCAAGCTTGCATCATTTTGTAGTCATCATTTTGTGATATGTTACTATATATATATAGATATCTTGGGGGCATATTTGCTTTTATCATGAAGCACGATATTTAGTTAAACTTCAAACTACATATTTCTCAGACTGTAAATATTCAAGTAGTGTCACCATTACCATATTGTCACATTAGTGCAGTAATGTGTTAACTTTTTGTATAATTTAATAGGAGTTAACCTGTAACTGCACTAAGGTGTCAATATGCACATTATTATTTTTGCTAAGCATGGTACGTTTTCATTACCAGTGTTTAGCCCAAACATTAACCATAAAGAGGAACCACCTGACATGTGCTTTGTTTTTTTCCCCTTTTATTTTCTTTAATACCGTATACATTCTAATAGTCAACTAATGTTGTGACCCATTAACACCTGTACATTGTTGTGTTCAAATTACGATTTTTACATCTTAAATATGTTTACAGGTATTTCTTTAATTATATAATATAGATGATTTTTATTTTACATTTTCATGAGTATCATAATGTGTTTTTATTCTGTCACACCATAAGATATTTCTCGATTCCAAGGCATTTCAGTCTTGATTGTGAGGGTTGGAAGGGGGTTTGGGGGTGAGAATCCATGGGGTAGGGGGTTGTAGAGAAGCTATCTATGATGGGATCATAGCAAATGTCATAAGATATTCTAAATCATTGTGTTACGTAGATGCATAATATGTAATCAAGGTAAAGGGCACATGTATTTATGCAATATAGCAAGACCAAACATCATATATATATATATATATTATATCATCCATTTCTTTAGTAGACCTGTATTTGAAATCCAAACAACACATATTGATATTGTCAAGTTGCGATATGTTACTATTTATATGCTGCAGCTTCATTGTTGTCTATTTTTCATAATTGTACAAGATTGTATTGCAAATTAGATGTCGTTATTGCAAGTAAGAAGGCATTATTGCAAGTTATAAGCTGTCATAAGCCTTTATTGCAAGCAAAAAGCCTCTTTTGCAAGTAAGAAACCTCCATTAATTATTATAAGACTTTATTCAAGTTTTGAAGTCTATTGTAAGTAAGAAGTCATTATTGCAAGTTAGAAGCTGTTATAAGAAATCATATTTGCAAGTTAGAAGCTATTATTGCAGTTAGAAGTCATTATTGCAAGTAAGAAGTCATTATTGCAAGTTAGAAGCCATTATTGCAAAGTAGGACGCTGTTCTAAGCCATTATTGCACAGTATAAATCAGTATTGCAAGTAAGACGTCATTATTGCAAGTAAGAAGTCATTATTGTAATTTAGAATCCCCTATTAAAAAAATTAGAAGTTGTCATTGCAAATTAGAAGTCATTATTGCAAATTAGAAGTCGTCATTGTAAATTAGAAGTCGTTATTGTAAATTAGAAGCCACTGTTTCAAGTTAGAAACTGTTATTGTATACTCAAAGCCTTTTGTAAGAAAGTAGCTTTTTTTTTCAAAGTTGAAACTTTTTAATAGCTCTATGCATGTCATGGATATTGGAACATTTTCTCTTTTCCCTTTTAATATGAACAATGTTTTTCAGAAAATTTCTAATATTGACCAACTTTTAATAAACATAAAAATCTTTAAGTACATTTGTAAAATTCAGTTGAAGAAAAAGACCTTTATACTGGCTATTTTTAAGTTTTTAGCACTGAGGTCTTTTCCACAATTTTCTGTTGTCATATTTTCACAAGTACCTTATCTAGATAGATGGTGCAAGAGTAGTGTTTAATTATCTTGCACTTGAAAAAGAGCTGTATGTAAAAAAAAAGGTAAATCCAATTTTCAAAATTCATGAGATTTTATCATTATTTTATATATATTTTATCAAAGAATAAACTGACTTGTGATTGAGGAATTTGTGTTTTATGAATAAGTTTTGTTTTCTAAGTGTTTAAAAAGAAATTGGTAGGACAATTGAATAACTGCTTTGTTTTATATGAAACCAAAGAATTTGATTTCCATATATTTATTTTATAAAAAACAATTTTACTATAATATGAAAGGGTTAAAGAAAGATGAGTGCCTATTTGATTAAATTATTTACACTGTATATATATTTTATTGTCCATGCCGTCCATTATTTCATATTTTGCTGTCGTTATTTTTAGCAGCTGAGATATTTTATTTTTATTTTTGAATGAACATTATAAGATTGAGCTACTCTGTGATTATATGCATTAAAATTTGTTTATTGTAATTGTTCAAAAATTTGTTATAGGTACTGGGAAAACAAGCATGTTTTATCTAGAATGTATTTGTTTTCGGTTTGGCAGATAGTAAAGGCATTTTGATTAAACATTTACAAAAATTATATGAAAGTCGCATCTTCTATGAAAGTCTAACATGTTTTTTTATTATAGCCGACTTGATTCTTGAGTACTAAATTTAAAAAAAAATTTTGCTTGTTTAGCTTTTCCAAAAAATTTCTGTTTTAAGTCTTCAACATGTGTAAGAAGTTGTTAAAAGTGTCTCTGTGGCTGAATGGTCATGGTTATCTACTTCAAGTCACTTGTGGTCGCTTTGGGTTCGAATCCTGTCAATTAAAGAAATCTACCAGCTAGCTTACGGAAGGTAGGTGGTTCTACTCAGGTGCCACTTTTTGCCTGAAATAATTCACAAAGGGTTACTTGAGATCTTCCTCCATCAGTAAATGCTTACGACAAATTTTGAATTTTTAGCTCGACTATTCGCAGAATAATCGAGCTAATGCAGTCACCCATTTGTCGGCGTCGGCGTCCCTGTGGTTAAGTTTTTGTATGTAAGCTGGTATCTCCATAACTACTGAAGGGAATGGATTGAAACTTCACACATATGTTCTCTGTGATTATCTAAGATGATTGGCACAAGTCCCATAACTCTGAATTGCTTTTTTTCATAATTATTTTTCGACTTAGAAATTCTTGGTTAAGTTTTTGTATGTAAGCTGGTATCTCCATAACTACTGAAGAGAATGGATTGAAACTTCACACACTTGTTCTCTGTGATTATCTCATATGATTGGCACAAGTCCCATAACTCTGATTTGCTTTTTTTTATAATTATGCCCCTTTTTCGACTTAGAAATTCTTGGTTAAGTTTTTGTATGTAAGCTGGTATCTCCATAACCACTGAAGGGAATGAATTGAAACTTCGCACACATGTTCTCTGTGATTATCTAAGATGATTGGCACAAGTCCCATAACTCTGATTTGCTTTTTTTCATAATTATGCCCCTTTTTCGACTTAGAAATTCTTGGTTAAGTTTTTGTATGTAAGCTGTTATCTCCATAACTACTGAAGGGAATTGATTGAAACTTCACACACTTGTTCTCTGTGATTATCTAAGATGATTGGCACAAGTCCAATAACTCTGATTTGCTTTTTTACATAATTATGCCCCTTTTTCGACTTAGAAATTCTTGGTTAAGTTTTTGCGTGTAAGCTGGTATCTCCATAACTACTGAAGGGAATGGATTGAAGCTTCACACACTTGTTCTCTGTGATTATCTAAGATAATTGCCACAAGTCCCATAACTCTGATTTGCTTTTTTACATAATTATGCCCCTTTTTCGACTTAGAAATTCTTGGTTAAGTTTTTGCATGTAAGCTGGTATCTCCATAACTACTGAAGAGAATGGATTGAAACTTCACACACTTGGTCTCTGTGATTATCTAAGATGATTGGCACAAGTCCCATAACTCTGATTTGCTTTTTAACATAATTATGCCCCTTTTTCAACTTAGAAATTCTTGGTTAAGTTTTTGCATGTAAGCTGGTATCTCCATAACTACTGAAGGGAATGGATTGAAACTTCACACACTTGGTCTCTGTGATTATCTAAGATGATTGGTACAAGTCCCATAACTCTGATTTGCTTTTTTTTGCATAATTATGCCCCTTTTTCGACTCATGAATTCTTGGTAAAGTTTTTGCATGTAAGCTTGTCTCTCCATAACTACTGAAGGGAATGTATTGAAACTTGAAGAGTTTGTACCTTTTCGGACAATTTTATGTATTCATATAGGTAAGCATTATTATACTCAATGAAACACCCTTGTGACAAATTTTCGAATAGTCGAGCGTTACTGTCCTCCGACAGTTCTTGTTATATTAATAAACAAATTTTATTACTGTCTGCGATACATTATCAGTACTGTTTTCAGTTATTTAAAATTTCATGTGTTGCGACCAGATATTTTACTTTTATTTTAGATTTTTTCCTGATTTGATTGTATACATTTGTATTTATATTATTTTTTGCACCCCTATGTTTGAAAATTTGGAACATTCTGCTTCACTTGATGGATCATTTCATTATGGTCATTCAAGGGTAGGCAGGTGTTGGTGTAAGGTTTAGGTATTTTATATATTGTGTGGAAATAAAAACATACTTAAATCTTTTTATATAAAATGGCTGTTTTGATGGTTTTAAAATAAGATTCCCAGTGAAGTTCAGAAATTTGTCATCTTTTTTTAACCTTAAATTCATTATTATTTGTGGGTAACTATTTTTTGTGGTTTTTGTTTATAGGTCAATCCACAAATTTAAAATCCAACAAAATTTTCTTTTTTTCTGCTGTAAGATTATTTTGAATCACATTTACAACAAATTTAAATACCCACTAAAAATGTTCTTTGTGACAAAACTACAAAAATTCATGTCCACAAATAATAACCATTGTGCAGTATTTATTTAGAGATCTTGAACATGCATGCTTGGTATTTTATCTGTAATAAATTTCTAGTTGCAAAATGTTTTTAAAAAGTCATATTTATACATTTCTTGTCTCTAAGGAGTGCTATTTATAGAAAACATTCCGCCATTTTTATTTCTGTGATGCGCCATGTAAACACATTATATTATTTTCTGCAATAAAGTATACCAAGCTTAGAAAGCAAATTGTCTTTGTTATATATTCTCTATTACAGGATTTCTGTGGCTATATATTTAATGATTTGCATCTTTAGAACTGTTACATTTAGCCATTCTGTTAATTACACATACAAAACTGTTCATTACAAGCTACTATGAACTGTTTATTACTAGCCATTCTGTGAAATACACTAATCTTACAGAACTGTTCAATACCAGCCACTATGTGAATTTCTTACAGAACTGTTCATTACTAGCCATTCTGTGAAATACACTTACAGAACTGTTCATTACTAGCCACTATGAGAATTTCTTACAGCAATGTTCTTTACTAGCCATTCTATAAATTACACTTACAGAACTGTTCATTACAAGCCATTCTGTGAAATACACTTACCAGCCACCATGTGAATTTCTTACAGAAATGTTCATCACTAGCCATTCTGTTAATTACACTTAAAGAACTGTTCATTACTTACCACTAAGTGAATTCCTTACAGAAATGTTCATAACAAGCTTTTCCGTCACACTGCAAATTGACCTGCCACACAGCAAGTAATTGCAACTCTGTGGATGTCCTACCACACTGCAAATACTTGCAACTCTGTGTATTTACCTGACAAACTGCAAATATTTGCAACTCTGTGAAAGACCTACCACACAGAAAATACTTGCAACTCTGTAAATGCAAATGCCACACTGCAAATACTTGCAACTATGTGTATTAACCTGCCACACTGCAAATACTTGCAACTCTGTGAATGCCCTTCCACAATGCAAATACTTGTAACTATGTGCATTTACCTGCCACACTGCAAATACTTGCAACTCTGTGAATGACCTGCCACACTGCAAATACTTGCAACTCTATATATGCACTGCCATACTGCAACTACTTGCAGCTCTGTGTATTTACCTGCCAAACTGCAAATATTTGCATCTCTGTGAAAGATCTATCACACAGAAAATACTTGCAACTCTGTGAATGCAAATGCCACACTGCAAATACTTGCAACTATGCGTATAAACCTGCAACACTGCAAATACTTGCAACTCTGTGAATGCCCTTCCGCACTGCAAATACTTGTAACTATGTGCATTTACCTGCCACACTGCAAATACTTGCAACTATGTGTATTTACCTGCCACACTTCAAATACTTGCAACTCTGTGAATGACCTGCCACACTGCAAATACTTGCAACTATATGCATATTCCTGCCACACTGCAAATACTTGCAATTATGTGTATTTACCTGCCATGCTGCAAATAATTACAACTCTGTGAATGACCTGTCACACTGCAAATACTTGCAACTCTGTAAATGACCTGCTATACTGCAAATACTTGCAACTCTGTGAATATATGCCACACTGCAAATACTAACAGCAACAGTGAATGACCTGCCACACTGCAAATACTTACAACACTGTGAATGACCTGCTACAATGCAAAAACTGACAACTCTGTACTGAAAATACTAACAACAACAGTGAAATGACCTGCAACACTGCAAATACTTGCAACTATGTGAATGACCTGTCACACTGCAAATACTTGCAACTCTGTGAATGATCTGCCATACTGCAAATACTTGCAACTCTGTGAATGCAATGCCATACTGAAAATACTGGCAACTCTGTGAATGACCTGCTATACTGCAAATACTTGCAACTCTGTGAAAGACCTGCCACACTGCAAATACTTACAACTCTGTGAATGACCTGCCATACTGCAAATACTTGCAACTCTGTGAATGACCTGCTATACTGCAAATACTTGCAACTCTGTGAATATCTGCCACACTGTAAATATCTGCAACTCTGTAGATGACCTGCCACACTGCAAATACTTGCAACTCTATATATGCACTGCCATACTGCAACTACTTGCAGCTCTGTGTATTTACCTGCTAAACTGCAAATATTTGCAACTCTGTGAAAGACCTACCACACAGAAAATACTTGCAACTCTGTGAATGCAAATGCCACACTGCAAATACTTGCAACTATGCGTATTAACCTGCCACACTGCAAATACTTGCAACTCTGTGAATGCCCTTTCCCACTGCAAATACTTGTAACTATGTGCATTTACCTGCCACACTGCAAATACTTGCAACTATGTGTATTTACTTGCCACACTTCAAATACTTGCAACTCTGTGAATGACCTGCCACACTGCAAATACTTGCAACTATGTGCATATTCCTGCCACACTGCAAATACTTGCAATTATGTGTATTTACCTGCCATGCTGCAAATTATAACAACTCTGTGAATAGACCTGTCACACTGCAAATACTTGCAACTCTGTAAATGACTGGCCACACTGCAAATACTAACAGCAACAGTGAATGACCTGCCACACTGCAAATACTTACAACACTGTGAATGACCTGCTACACTGCAAAAACTTACAACTCTGTACTGATAATACTAACAACAACAGTGAAATGACCTGCAACACTGCAAATACTTGCAACTATGTGAATGACCTGTCACACTGCAAATTCTTGCAACTCTGTGAATGATCTGCCATACTGCAAATACTTGCAACTCTGTGAATGCAATGTCATACTGAAAATACTGGCAACTCTGTGAATGACCTGCTATACTGCAAATACTTGCAACTCTGTGAAAGACCTGCCACACTGCAAATACCTACAACTCTGTGAATGACCTGCCATACTGCAAATACTTGCAACTCTGTGAATGACCTGCTATACTGCAAATACTTGCAACTCTGTGAATATATGCCACACTGTAAATATTTGCAACTCTGTAGATGACCTGCCACACTGCAAATACTTGCAACTCTGTGAATGACCTGCCATACTGCAAATACTTACAACTCTGTAAATGACCTGCCACACTGCAATACTTACAACACTGTGAATGACCTGCTACACTGCAAAAACTGACAACTCTGTGAATGACTGGCCACACTGAAAATACTAACAACAACAGTGAATGACCTGTTACACTGCAAATACTTGCAACTCTGTGAATGATCTGCCACACTGCAAATACTTGCAACTCTGTGAATGCAATGCCATACTGAAAATACTGGCAACTCTGTGAATGACCTGCTATACTGCAGATACTTACAACTCTGTGAATGACCTGCCATACTGCAAATACTTGCAACTCTGTGAATGACCTGCTATACTGCAAATACTTGCAACTCTGTGAATATCTGCCACACTGTAAATACTTGCAACTCTGTAGATGACCTTCCACACTGCAAATACTTGCAACTCTGTGAATGACCTGCCATACTGCAATAACTTGCAACTCTATGAATGACCTGCTATACTGCAAATACTTGCAACTCTGTGAATGACCTGCCATACTGTAACTCTGTGAATGACCTGCCATATACTGCAAATACATGCAACTCTGTGAATGACCTTTTATACTGCAAAAACTTGCAATTCTGTAAATGACCTACCATACTGCAAATACTTGCAACTCTGTAAATGACCTGCAACACTGCAAATACTTGCAACTCTGTGAATGACCTGCAACACTGCAAATACTTGCAACTCTGTGAATGACCTGCCATACTGCAAATACTTGCAACTCTGTGAATGACCTGCCATACTGCAAATACAATGTACTTGCAACTCTGTGAATGACCTGCCATACTGCAAATACTTGCAACTCTGAATGACCTGGCATACTTCAAATACTTGCAGCTGTGAATTACTTGCCACAGAGCAAATGCTTGTGAATTAATTGCCACAGAGCAAATACTTGTGAATTACAGCTACAGAACAAACACTTGCAACTCGGTGAATTATATGTCACAGAGCAAATACTTGCATCTATGTGAATTTACCTACCATGCTG